TTTGAGACAGAGTCATTCTGTATAGCCTTGGCTTTCCTTGCTTGGCTGTTCTTATACTTACAGAGGTTTACCTACCTCTGCCTCCCAAGTTCTGGAATTAAAAGCATATGCCACTATGCCCAGGTTCCCTTCATTTTCTTTATTTTTATTTATTTATTTATTTACTTATTTATTTACTTATTTATTTATTTAGTTTTTTTGAGACAGGGTTTCTCTGTGTAACAGCCCTGGCTGTTCTGGAACTGGTTTTGTAGACCAGGCTAGCCTTGAACTCACATAGATTCACCTGCCTCTGCCTGTGCCTCCCAAGTGCTGGAATTAAAGGCATGTGCCCCCACTGCCCGGCTGATTCCCTTCATTTTTAAAATTTAAAATTAATATATTCTTCTGAGGTAATAAATTTTCACTAGTAAGTTGTAGATTGTCAGTTTTTCTCTGGATATTTCCTATTTGTAATGTTCTCTGTGGTCACAGAAAGTTTTGTCGAAAAATAGTTAGCTTATATAAATGAAGCTAAGTTCAAAAACTGTTATTTCACAAAAGAAAATAAAGATGTATTCACATACTACTTAGATGAGTAAATAAGTTTAGGAAAAACTTCCATGGTTATAAAAGATGGGTAAGCAACTCAAGGAACAAATAAAATTGTATAATTAATCATGGAAATACATTATAACTATTTTGCTCTATAAGACAATAAAAGCAGAGTGCTTTTCTGGGGACCAGGGTTTGAGTCCTAAGCACTCACATGGTGGCTCACAACAGTCTATAACTACAATGTGACTCAGCCCAGTGCCCTCTTCTGACCTCTGTGGGCATTGCAAGCACATGATACAATTTCATTCAGACAGGCAAAACACCTGTCTGTACACATAAACCCAACACAGAACAAAAATAAATCATTTTAAAAAGAGATAAAAACATTTATTAAAACTTTTTTGGGGGGTTCTGTATTTTTAATAAGCAGCAATTTAACAAAGACTGAACATTCTAACATAAAAATAGGGTCTTTGTACTGAAAACAGGTCAGGGAAGTAGTTACCGTATTCTGTTCATAGGAACTTACAAATAAAAATGAGTATACAAGGCCAGGATGGTAGTGCACACCTACAATCTCAGCACTCAGGAGGATGCAGCAAGAAGAGTGCTGTGAATACAAGGCCCACGTGGGCTACATAGCAAGACCCTGCCTCAAAAAAAAAAAAAACAGCTGAGCGTGGTGACACATTCCTTTAATCCCAGCACTGAAAAGGCAGGAGCAGGCAGGTCTCTGAGTTCCAGGCCAGCCAGAGATACATAGAAAGACTCTACTTCAAACAAATCATGCCCCCCAAAAATGAAAAAACAAAATGGAAAAAAATATACATATATAAACAAGCAGAATTTTCTTATCACTTCAGTCTATAGAATGCCAATTAAGTTTTTTAATGATTATATCATTGCCTGAAAGGTCTTTAAAGGTAACTTAAGAATATTTATAGTATTCCCAGAAATATTCTGTATTACTGTTCTAGTAATGCTTGAAATTGACAGGTTAGTGTTTAGAAATCTAAAATGTTCTTGTTATCATTGTTTTTATCTTTATATTTTAATGAAATAATATTAAGAATTTTTTCATGGTAAATTTAGTTAACATGTAAATAAGTAATATATAAGTAATTACATTATATTTTTAGGAAAGACTGTTGTTGTACTCTCTAGGTAAAGGGCAAGTAGTTATCTCTAAACTCTCAGTAATTTACCTGTATCAGGTACTGCTCATGTACCTATATAATCTAAGGATTTTACATTTTAAATAACTAAATCCTTTTTAAATCTCCAACCCAACTTGTTTGCCAGTTTAACTTAATATAATTCAGTATTCATCTGACTGCTTATAATTGAACTTTCCATGATCCCCTTTTTGAATTCAATTAATTTTCTAGTACAGCAACTCAAGAGAACTCAGAAAACACATTTTCTAATTCATTATAAAGAGTGTTTTAGGGGGCTGGAGAGATGGCTCAGAGGTTGGGAGCACTGGCTGCTCTTTCAGAGGTCCTGAGTTCGGTTCCCAGCAACCACATGGTGGCTCACAACCATCTATAATGGGATCTGGTGCCCTCTTCAGGCATGCAGGCGTATGTGCAGGCAGAACACTGTATACATAATAAATAAATCTTAAAAAGAGTATTTTAAAGCACAGAAATGAATAGACCAATGAGGTGATGCATAGGACAAGTTATAGAAGCCTCAGTCTCCAGTGGGAATTTGGCTGTGCCTTTCTTGGAACATGGTATGTTCTTGTTCCCTTTCCTGGATACCTGAATTAAGTCTGTTTGAATTTTTATATAGAAAAAATTTTTGAAGAGACTTCATTATATAGATATGATGGATAGATATAAATTTTTGGTGTTGTTTATTTCCCTAATCTCCAGGCTCTGTAAGTGGGAGGATGGGGCTGTGAGCACTAACCCTTTGACTTGAGGACATAATTTATTCTTGTGGCAACCAGCCCCTCCTCCCATCTTGTGTTATTTAGCAACTTCCCCCAAACTACCTTATTAATACAGTCTCAGGCGGTTGAAAGATGCTTGTTATAAATTAAAACCAGAAAACAAGAGAGACACTGTTTAAAAAACAAAACAAAACACCCATCTTTATCATTCTGAAGCAAAAGGCCAAAATTTTAACCACAGATACTTATTGCTCTATTTAACTTAGGAGGTTTCTGGAGCTGTAAGCCAGGAACCTTGGATCAAAAAACAAAACACATATATCAGAATATCAGAATTATATAATTTGCGGTTGACTTCATTATGGCCTTGCACATATACTTTCCCTCTGTCCTTGGCAGGGATCTCTGAGATGCTCATATTCTGCATTCTTGTACGCATGATAGTTAGACTCAGAAAGGAGGGCTGGAGTAAGTGCTTTAGAAAAATACAAGTTCACAGCATTCATGCTACATGCTTTGTGTGATTGATCCACTGCAAATAGTGCATGCTGTTAAAAAATTTCTCTGAAAGTCAAGAATATAGACACACACAAACACAAATTTTAGTTTCATTATAGCCAATAGTTGGAACAGATGAAGGAACATTAGATATATCTTTTCTATTTAGTCCAAAATGAGCACCATAGTATTTTCCAAAGGAAAAAAAAAGGAAAAGAAAAAACTGTATTTAAACCCAAAGTGGCTACAAATCGGCTCCTAAACTGTCATTGACATTAGCATCTAGATTTTGTAGTTTTTACAGATCTTTAAGAATATTTATTTACCAAGAAAACATTGCGTTAATGCATGATACAAAATTGATAAATTTTTCTTTAAATTGGAATGCAGTTTAAAAGTGACTGAATTTTCTAATTTCAGCTACTGCATTTGACAGGATACAAACTAAAAAGTGGAACTGGTATCATCAACTCCTTCAGGTTCTTTGACTTATGGTAGTTGGGAGAAAATTTTTGAGTGTGGCATTATGTAGATCACATTACAGATAGCTAACATGACTGTGCTCTTCATCCTTGACAACAATGAAAAATTCGGGGGTGGTTGTCATTCTTTCAAGTAATTTACGTGTTTTGATACATGCTTTCAATTGGGTTCAATTAATTTAGTAGCACAGCTTTTATCTAAACACTGACTTTCTTACATTTTAGCTCTATAATTGACAATGAGTGAATTCAATAATGGTATATTTAAATAATGGTGCATCACATTTGAATTTTTATTGTGCAGTTTTAAAACTGTGGCATAAATGGTTGTAGACACAAATTAAATTTAGGCACATTACCGATTTTTATTTATGTGTACAATTATATCTTGTACACGATAAATTAGTAATTTGAATTACAGGTAACCTCCAGCCTAAGCAGTGTTAATATGTCTGAGTTTATGCTTTTAAGGGCTAGAGTAGCAGTGTTCTCAGTGCTACTGCTAATTGACGCACAGTCTGTTCTGCAGAGACTTACTTAAATTTTGCAATGCATACTTGATAAATGATTTGAGATATTTTTATAGGAATTCTTGTGTTCTAGAAATTTTCATGCTTAATTTTTTGTTAGGCTTTAGACAGTAAGATTTGCTATTCACTACCATACACAGTTACCAGGCTTTTTTAAAAGAGAGCTAATAGAAAGAAACTAATTTTTGAGCACATTAGACTTTGTAAGAAAAGTCCATCTAGTAGCCACCCTTTTCTGCTTTTTATTCATTTTTGAAGGATGGATGTTTTTTGTTACTCGTGATTTTTGATGTGCTGTTTCCAACTTTGAGATTCTCAGTGACCAACCTGTTTATCTTCTACAACCAAGCATGTTCCCATTAAACCTTTCTCACCTTTATTCTCATGGATTTTACAATAAGTTATGGTGATGGTACCAGTTCCATTTTGCCTCCAGTTCAGTTGATTATCTTTTTTTTCTCTATTTATTTTTCATTTTATAATTGGTATCTGGAATAATCAGCAGCTCTTTTCTCATTTATTTTCTCATATTTTTATTCCAGGATTTGCCTCTGAAGCAGGGAGTGTCTGCATTAAAAATGACCTGTAGTTCTCTGCTTCATAGGTTAGAAACTTATTTTAATATTTTGTGGCTAAGCACAGTCCCACTTTTCAAATTCTATAATGAATTATTTAATTGGCATTGAATGTGGACCACAAACATATATTTCATATTGGGGTTTTCTGTATTACTTTTAAATGATTAAAATTCAACAGAACATTCAGCTGAGGCAATAAAAGCTTTATTCTTGCTTTACAGCTTAAAACACTAAATTAGATTTTAAAAAATTTATCAATTATAACAAAAGTAAAAATGCTATTTGGGCATTTTTGAAAAATTGTATTTCTTAGGCTTTGTATTGCTTAAAGCATTTATATTCTAAAACTTAACCAAATTCCAATTATTTGTTTTGGGGAAAACAATCAGTTCACAAATCACATTTTCATTGGGACTGCTAGCCAGCATAGGTGAAAACATGTATAGTGTATTTACTCTTGGATTGTACACTGCAGATGCTTCTTCAGCTCCCTCCTCTTCCTCCATGGGCGGTGCTTGCAGCTCCTTTACCACCTCTTCCAGCCCTACCATTTATTCTACCTCAGTCACCGACAGCAAGGCTATGCAAGTGGAGAGCTGCTCCTCAGCCGTGGGGGTAAGTAACAGAGGGGTAAGTGAAAAGCAGTTAACCGGTAACACAGTTCAGCAGCATCCATCAACCCCGAAGAGGCACACAGTTTTGTACATCTCACCACCACCTGAGGACTTGCTGGATAACAGTCGGATGTCCTGCCAGGATGAGGGGTGTGGATTGGAATCTGAGCAGAGCTGCAGTATGTGGATGGAGGATTCCCCCTCCAACTTCAGTAACATGAGCACCAGTTCCTACAATGATAACACTGAGGTACCTCGTAAATCACGAAAACGAAATCCAAAGCAGAGGCCGGGGGTCAAACGACGAGATTGTGAAGAATCTAATATGGATATATTTGATGCCGACAGTGCCAAAGCACCTCACTATGTGCTTTCTCAGCTTACCACGGACAACAAAGGCAACTCAAAAGCTGGAAATGGGTTGGTATCCACATTTTTTAAAGTTCTATCACCATTATGCAAAGCAGAAACGTAAATCATTCCCAAATTTTCTTAATTCTCAGTTCAAATTTGCATATAAAGCAAAAATGCTAATTTTATCCTTGAAGTACATGAAATTTTCAACTTAAAATCAAATTTTACTAGAAAAATAATTTTAAAATGGCAAAGTAGATTATAGCAAAGGAATTTTATTATGGGTATGTTTAGTAGTAGGTGTAGTAGAAAAGATAATCTGTTTTGAAATAACTTTTAAACTTCAAATGGACTTATTTTAAAAGGATTTAAAAATATATTTACCTGCAGAAATAAGTAATAGTATGGTAATGCTAGCTAAAACACTTAAATGTTCTCGAGAAGTTAATTTGTTCTTTTAGCAGTTTATTTCATATGGTTCATTCCATTATATTTTTTTAAAGAGTTTTATGTTTTATTTTTGTTTTTCATCTTTACTTGATGAAAACAAGAAAAAAACAAAGATGACTCTATTCTCATATAGGTTCCTTTGTTTGAATTTTTTTTTCCTTTGATACATAGTTCCAGTTTAGGAATTTTTTAAAAAATTGTTATTCTTTTTAATCCCCCCTCCCCGCCCCTCTCTGATTCTGTTTCTTACTTGAAGGATGATGAAACAGGATCATGGGTGCATATTCAAGCTTTCTGTTCCATCTGTGCCCTTGGTACACTACTCACCAAATCCATTTCAATGGTTATGTTACAGAATATTCCATGATATAATACAGATTAACGTGATTTACTTTAGGATTCCTTTAGTATTTTAATTGTAATATTTAGTTGCTGGACTTTTGAAAGTAAATTTTCTACAGTATATTCAGTAAAATTTAACTCATTAGATTTTGAGAATTAGTTTTTAAGGAGGTAGAATATGGTTCTTTAGGTAACCCAGGATCACTTGCAATTCTCACTTGTTGCCCAAAAAAAAGGTTAGATTGGTGTACTCCATGATGACATCTTTGATCTGTTACATTAAAAATCCAACTCAGTAATATATTGGCCATAATAAATATTAAATATGTCCATAAATGATCCCGTGTACATTTTAAAATTAGTAGCAGTCATTTAAGCAAGAATTAGTTAAGTCTATACTCACAAGTTTGAAATGCCATAATGAAACTCATTTCCTTATATTCTAACTTAAAAATTAATTTGAAAAAAATTAGCCTACTTTTTTCCTTTATACTTTTATTTAAATAAATAAATAAATTCTTTTAGAATGATATAGTTAAATAATTTAAATGCTTTACAGTTTCAAAAAGTCTACATTAGGCAATTTCCAAAAGAAAACATGATATACAGCCTTTCCTAATATGTCACAGTTTAATAGTCCAGAAATTGAAAAAGGAATAATTTATTCAACTATAAAATGTAGGTTAAGGCTCTGAAACACAATGAACACCCCAAGTCCTCTAAGGAAGTGTGACTGATAGTACAGATCTGAAAGGTGTGTGGATGTCAATAAATGTGTGCTTTTTGGGCTGCGGTGGAAAAGGTCTTAATAAAGTTTCAGAGAGCCGGGCGGTGGTGGCGCACGCCTTTAATCCCAGCACTCGGGAGGCAGAGGCAGGAGGATCTCTGTGAGTTTGAGGCCAGCCTGGGCTACCAAGTGAGTTCCAGGAAAGGCGCACAACTACAGAGAAACCCTGTCTCGAAAAACCAAAAAAAAAAAAAAAAAAAAAAAAAGTTTCAGAGAAAGATATTTTTCTATTTGTAATGAAATAGTTATTAAAGTTTCCAGTTAAGAACAGTAAAGTTTTGACTTAGGGATAGTCAAAGTCAAACAGTGATTTACTGTTGCTGATTGAAAAGATTTCTTGACCTACATCTTTTCTGCTTCTGCTTTTGTATGATAGATATATCTTAGAAATGATTTGAGGTTACCAGGGAAAGTATAATGACATTGGTCAAGACAAAACTTTCATGAAATAATTCATGAAGCAGAAACTCCATCAAGCAGCAGAAGAAATGCCCATCTTCTTAGGTAATGGAAAATTATTTGACAATAGTATATGGAAATGATGAAGAAGTTTAAAATTTGAATTTATGAGAAATATATTGAGGAAAGGATGAAACCAAATGTAAAATACATGGACAACTATTCTTAATCTGTAGTTCTAGCTAATTGCCTGTTTTTTTTCCAATGATGAGAAAGATGTTAGAAACATGAAATTTTGAAATGTTTTGAGAGATAAGTAATATAGTCTTCAATATGAGGTGACATAATTTGAAGTTTATATAATGCTAAATATTTATTAAATGAACTTTCGAGTGTGTTGCATATAGCAGTTCATTTATCTTCATGATGCCAGAAGTCTTGATAACTGATGGACAGAAAAACAGTTACTTTTACAACTAAAAAGTTAGAACTTATTAAGGAAACATCTTTTTTAAAAAGCTGCTTATATGTAAATATTGCTGACTGTATCATTCTTAAATTCTTCAGCTAATGTCTGGAGACTTAGTAGCCCTGTTTCTTCTAAAGTTCTTTAAGTTTAGATGTGATATCATATGGATATGAAAGTCATATTAGGTCTTTTTGTAGTAAAAATTATTTTGATGACATAGACAACCTGAAGGAATATCTAGCACAGAACCTGAATGTCATTCTAAGTAGAACATGCCACATCACATTGTCTATGGTAGGTTGTCGTTTAGATGTAAGACTCCAGTGATGGAGTCCCTTCCTAAAATGAGGAAAGCCCTGGCTTTGATGCCCAGCCCTGCAAAAATCAATCAACCACTCCCCATGTAATGAATTGCTACTTGCTTTTTCTAAACTGTTTTACCTTAGCAATTTATAAATTGAATTGCTTTTTTTCTAAGAATTAGTTGATGTTTTCATTGTTTTACATGTCTGTAGATGTAAATATACGTTTTCCATTTTTACATTTAAACCTAGGGAATTTTAGTTGTAAGAATAGGCATGGTAGGTGGTAAATTTGTGTAAGCTCAGCACATGGGAGGCTGAGGCCATGGGCTTGTGAGAGGTTGACAAGCCTGGCTTATAGTGAGTTCAAGGCCATTTGGGCTGTGTGATAAGAGCTCTCTCTCAAAAAAATAAAAAAAAGCAGAACTATTTTCAGTTTTTTAGAAATTATTTATTTCTTTGTGATCTTTTTAGTGTGTATATATAAATATATGTTTGATATTTGATACATATATATCATATATGTATCAGATACATATTTTTTAGCATTTATATCAACTCATTCAACAGATGTTCATTCCAAACAAGATACTTGTTTTATAGGAATCATTTTCATTTACTTTCAAAATGCTAGCTTGACTAGTATAAAGATAAAAAGCACACCTGATAAAATTAGTTGTCATATCATTTAAGTTTTTTTAGTACTTGAATCTAAAATTTTTCATTTTCTATTATGACTAATACATATGAACTATAAATATTTGAAAAATACAAGAAAGTAAGTAAATAACCCATAATCTAGTCACTCATGTAAACTGCTATTATCACTATGCTATAATTTATTTTAGTTACTGTGTATGTATGTGTATATATATACATGTATATATATATGAGATATTTTTGCATAGTTTCAATATATCTTTTCCCCCCCCTTTGGTAATAAGATGAATACAAAGAGATCATTATAGAATCTCATGTTTAAGAAATTGTACACTCTTCAAACCAAACATTTGGATTCATTCAGAACTCTAAAAAAACAAACAAACACATTATTTGTCACAAATTGTTCCAGCTTCAGCCTAGTACTTTTGTTCATAGATTCATTTCTCTAGGGCCTTTAAAGTGACTCACACATACAGGTAATCTTTGACTTAATCGTGTCAGACTTAGGTAAATGGCATTAGGGTCTGGTCTTGCCCATTTCCTATTATAGAAGCTCCTTTTCCTCTTTGCTTTCCTTGTCTTTTTTCTCTTCTTCCTGTTTGCCTTCATCAGCAAACATCTCATGTGAACTTTCCCTGTCAGTGCTACTGAATTCTGTGTCAGTGTTACCCTTTCCGCCACACTTCTGGCCCTTTTCTATGGAGTCGTTCTTATTGCGGCAACAGCTTGGTTACATCTGTATTGGTAAAGTTTAGAGCCAGGTTTAAAGCTGTTCTTCTAAAAATCATGATATTCTTCCGGGGATCCAGTTACTTTGTTGTGAGTAAAAAAGCATGATAGGCCTGACTTTTCAAGAACAAAAATGGATAATTTTAAATATATTTCATGTTGTTCAGGGGGTGTGTATGATTTTATTCTGCTTATTTTCATCAGGTATTTGTATTACATTAGCTATTTTATAGAAGTTCTAATCACAATTTTGGATATTATAAACAAATGCTTAAAACATAGTCTTAGAGCCAGGCATGTGCCGAGGTAGGTGGGGTGACACTATAAGGCCATCCTCAGCTAGACAGCAGCTTGAAGACTGCCTGGGGTATATGAGACCCTGTCTCCAAAAACCTCAAAAGCTTCCACAGTTAAAAAAAACTAAGTACAATTACCTTTGCTATAGAGCTCAGATTATAAGATTTTTATTGAGCTTTTTTCATTTAACCAGTCACAGATAAAAATAATCTGGAAAAAAATCACACTTATTATTTAAAGTAAACTTCATTTCCCAGTAAAAATTGAGCCACTGATTTTGTTTTTATTATAAATTTCTTACTTTGAGAAAGAAATCCAAAAGGATATACTACATATACTTCCATTGTTGGATCTTTAGGCCTTTTGTGTGCTGGCTTAGTAAGTAGTTCTTGCCATTCTCTTTTTTTCTTTTGCTTTGCAAGTCTGATTAAAATGTGATCATGGTCTTTTAGCTTCATGTAAGACTCATGTGATTTTTACATTTTATTTTAACTGAATTGCAGTGTGAAAACTTCATAAATTATTGCATTGTTTTCCTTGTTCCACCCAACTATTTTTATTTCTTTTCCCTGTCCAGCTTTCTTTTTCATGGCATATAGTTATACTTGGTTCAAAAATATTTTAAAGGTACTTTGGTTATATAGGATGTTTCTTCCTTTAGGCTGTGTTCTATTTTATCAATAATCTAAGCAGTTATTTTCAGTGTTTTCGTCTTTCTGTTTCTTCCTTTATCGAAGTAGCTTTTGTAGAAAACTGTTTTTGATGTTTTCTTCCCATGTTGTGCTTTGGTTTTCTCAGAACATTGGACAACCAAAAGGGAACTGGAGTAAAGAAGAGCCCTATGTTGTGTGGACAGTATCCGGTTAAAAGTGAGGGGAAGGAACTGAAGATAGTTGTACAGCCTGAAACCCAGCACAGAGCTCGGTACCTGACAGAGGGCAGCCGAGGCTCAGTAAAAGACAGAACACAGCAAGGCTTTCCGACAGTGAAGGTACTCATTTTATTTAGTAATGTGTGAAGACTGACTGATGAGATGGCTTCGTGGGTAAAGGTTTATTCCCAGAACCCAAAGGGAACTGGCTCTACATAGTTGTCCTGACCTCCACACACCCACACCATGGCACACACATGCCCACATACATGCTCCCTACACACAACCATCAAATAATTGTAAAAATAATTCATGTGTATGTGATGAATTTCCTTCAATTTTTATTATTTTAACCTCAGAAAAAATTTCCTGGAATAGAAGGATAGAATTATTAGCTCAGTATAATAGAAAACAAATGTCTCATTGGGCCATAAGCCAAATAGTACTTAGATAATATTTGAATTGTTGTTTGTTTAGCTGGTTGGTTTTGGTTTTTTTGAGATGTTTTATTATAACCCAGGCTAGCCAGGAACTCAATATGTATAATCCAGGCCAGCCTTGAATTCATGGCACGCCTCCTGCCTCAGTCTCCTGAGTGCTTGAATTATAGGCATGAGCCAGCATGCCTGGTTAAATTTTAATTAGAAAGATGAGAGTATGTTCTGAAAAGAAAAAATATCTGCAGCTTTTCAATTGTCTTCCTCCTTTGTTTGGTAGTGGTAGCAGATTCGTCCAGAAAAGTTTTATTCAAGAAGAAATTTTAAAGTGAATGCAAAGAAACGTAGTAGAAATTACTAAGAACTTAACCAGGCATGATAGAACATAATTTTATTTATAGCTTTTTTTTTTTTCCTTAATGTATGAGTGTTCTGTCCACATGTACAAATGCATGCCAGAAGAGGGCATCAGATCCTGTTACTATAGATGGTTGTGAGCCATCATGTCGGTGCTGGAAATTGAACTAAGGACCTGTGGATGAGTAGTAGAGCAGCGAGTACTCTTAACTGTAGTTGGTGGGGTTTTTTGTTTTTGTTTCTTTTTTTAACTCTTTCCCCTTTGGGGGCCCACTACCCAGCTCCCAGATAAATACACTTATGAATGCTCAGCCTTAGATTGGCTTGTTTCTTGTCCGCTTTTCTTAATTTAAATTATCTGTATACCTTTTGCCTCTGGGCTTTTACCTTTCTCAATTCTATATACCTCTCTTTCCTTCTTACTCTGTTGCTGGCAGTGTGGCTAGCCTCTGTTGTCCTCTTCTGTTTTCCTTGTTCCTCTCTCCTCTCTCCTCTCTCCTCTCTTCTGTTTTATTCATTCTCTCTGCCTGCCAACCCCACCTGTCCCTCTCCTGCTTAGCGATTGGCCATTCAGCTCTTTATTAGACCAGTTATGTGTTTTAGACAGGCATAGTAACAAAGCTTCACAGAGTTAAACAAATGCAACATAAAAATGCAGCACATCTTTGCATCATTAAAAAAATTCCACAGCATAAACAAATAGAACACATCTTAAACTAATATTCCACAAAATTAATCTCTGAGCCATCTCTCCAGCCCCTAAGTAGCACATGCTTTTAATTCCAGCATTTAAGAGTCAGAGACAAGCATATCTCCATGAGTTGGAGGTCAGCATGATCTCCATAGAGAGTTCCAGGCCAGCCAGGACTACCTGTCTCAAAAAAAAAAAAGATTTTTTAAAGTTGTCAGAATTACCTTTTAAGAACTTTGACTTAAGTAAAATTTTATCACTTGGTATATTTATTATAAAGAATATTATCGTTGAAAACATGAACTGTCATTCATTTCATATTTGAATGAAATCATGATTAAAGCTCAGGATTGGGAAACTTGTCTATGATCATTTATTTACACCAGTGTTACCGCTCTAATCCATCTGCGACCAATCCCTCAAGTCCAGGATACATAACAGGCAAGAAGGAAATTCAAGTTTTTCTTTGTGTGTGTTTAGCTGGATATTTTAATTGTTTTGTCAGTATTCTTAATCTGATTATCTATCTTTAGGTTCTGCTTGGTCTAAGTACTTGCACAGCTGCATGTGTTATTGCCTCACTATGATAGGGAATGAACTGACTGCCCTAAACAGTTCATTTACTCACTCACTCAACAGACACTCCAAAAACAAACAAAAAACCCAAAAAACTTGACATGTTCTCTGTTCTCTGCTAAATAATTGTATAATCCATCTGTAAAAGGAGATCGGAATGGATACACACTTCCTTATTTCTTAATTATTTCCCTGATAATGATAGTCACTGCCCAGAGATGCTCATATAATGAGATATAAAGATGTGACATTTTTGTAATTTTTTCTTGCATATTTTATCAACAGCTTCAGTGTTTTTACTATAAAGCTTCTATATATGAACTGTCATTTATTTATGAGAGTTTTGCTAGAGGTCTATAGTGACCATATAGCTGACCATAGATGTTCTGGCCCAGAATTTCATGGTCCAGTCTTTGAAAATGAGCTTCATTTTCCTGTCATTTGTGTGGCTGCATTTCAAATAACTGCTTTTCCTTAACTGCTTAAGTAGTAAAAATTTATCATATATATTCTCATTTGGTGATGAAGATGTTGCCATTAACACAATTTAGTGGTAGTAGCAGATCCTGAGTAGTAGATATACTATCTGAGCAATTGTGTATGTATTTCCATTGGCTTATACAAATAGATTATGTGATGGTTTAGCTTAGGCATCTAAAATAATTAAAATGTAGTTATTGTAGAACCACTGCAATATTTTTCTTTATTTTTCCTTTTGAGCCTGGCCTTTATTTCAGCTCCCTCTGCTAGCTTTATTTTTTTGAGACAAGACTGTCTATATAGTCCTGGCTGTCCTGGAACTCACAGAGATCCACCTGTCTCTGCTGTGATTAAAGGTGTGTGCCACCATGCCTGATTCCAGTTCTTTTATAAGAAAATTTTTGGACTGGGTGTGGCTCAGGGGTGAGCACCTGGGTTCAGTCTTCAGTACTCAAAAAGTTTTTACCTATTTTTCTTATTATTTCTTCATCTAGTTTTTTGTTGTTATTTTTCGAGACAGGGTTTCTCTATGTAGCTTTGGAATCTGTTCTTTAGATGAACTCACAGAGATCTGCTTGCCTTTGCCTCCCAAATGCGGTTTCTTCATCTAGTTTTAAATATAGGATTTGATTTTGATTTTTTTTTTTTTTTTTGGTTTTTCGAGACAGGGTTTCTCTGTGTAGCTTTGCGCCTTTCCTGGAACTCACTTGGTAGTCCAGGCTGGCCTGAACTCACAGAGATCCGCCTGGCTCTGCCTCCCGAGTGCTGGGATTAAAGGCGTGCGCCACCACCGCCCGGCGATTTGGTTTTATTTGAGACAGGGTTTCTCTGTGTAGCTTTGCGCCTTTCCTGGAACTCACTCTGTAGCCCAGGCTGGCCTAGAACTCACAGAGATCCGCCTGCCTCTGCCTCCCGAGTGCTGGGATTAAAGGCGTGTGCCACCACCACCTGGCTTGATTTTGATTTTTGAGACAAGGTTTCTCTGTGTAGCCCTAGCTGTCCTGGAACTTACTCTGTAGACCAGACTGGCCTTGAACTCACAAAGATCTGCCAGCCTCTGCCTCTCAAGTGCTGGGGTTATAAAGGCATGCGCCACCAGTGCCCAGGCAGGATTTGATTTTGAATGTTTAGTTTATAATGAACTTATTTGAAATGCTAACTAGTGCTTATTTTGCATGTTATCTGATTCCAGCTGGAAGGTCATAATGAACCAGTGGTGTTGCAGGTGTTTGTGGGCAATGATTCTGGTCGAGTGAAACCACATGGATTTTATCAAGCCTGTAGGGTAACTGGACGAAATACGACTCCCTGCAAAGAAGTGGACATTGAAGGTACCACTGTTATAGAAGTTGGCCTTGATCCTAGCAACAACATGACACTGGCGTAAGTACAAGTACTTTTTTCCTTTTCTTGTGTAAGGTTGTAGTATGTCACACTGACTGGCCTGGAACCCTCTATACAGACCAGGCTGGCCTCAAACTCACAGAAGTCTGCCATGCCACCTGAGTGCTGAGTGCTGTGTGCCACTATGCATGGCAAGTTTTTATATTTTTTTATATTTTTTTGTTTGGTTAGGTTTTTTGTTTTAGTTTTGGTTTTATTCTTTTTGGAGACAGGATCTGTCTACATAGCCCTGGCTGTCCTGGAACTACTGTGTAGTCCAGGTTGGGACTGGCTCTTGGCAGAGTTTTAAAATTATGGATATGTGTGTATGCCTGTGTGAGTTTATGTGCATTATGTGTGTGCAGTTGCCCACAGAGATGAGAAGAGGATGTTGGGTCTCCTGGAATTAGAATGACAGAGAGTTGTGAGCCAACTTACATGGCTCCTGGGAACCAAACCCAAGTCCTCTGTAAGAGTAGCAAGTGCTCTTAACTTAACCTCTGAGCCATCTCTCTAGCTCCTACGAAATTTTTTATTTTATTATATATTATACTTTTATGATAATCAAGAAAATATTTCTAGTTCCAGAAAATAGAAGATTTTGAGGGTCTCTCTTTCTCTTTGGTTTTTCAAGACAGTGTTTCTTTTTGTAGCCCTAGCTGTTCCTGGAACTCACTCTGTAGACCAGGCTGGCCTGGAACTCAGAGCTCCTTCTGCCTCTCTGCCTCTCTGCCTCTCTGCCTCTCTGCCTCTCTGCCTCTCTGCCTCTGCCTCTGCCTCTGGAATGCTGGGACTAAAGGCATGCGCCACCACCGCCTGGCTATATTTCTTAAAAGCACAGAATAAATCTCTTGTAGGCCATTACTTATGTTCACATTTAAAGAATAATTTTATTTTTTTTTACTATTTTTTCCATTTTAAAATGAAGATTGATCAGATTAAGAGCTTTGAATATTTAAAATTTATCCTTTCATATTTTGTGAGTTTGGGGCCTTATGACTATTACATATTCAAAGAATTAGCAAAGAATCAGCCTTTTTAAAAAAGGAAACTTGTTTTATAATGTACTATTGCTGGGCAGTGGTGCCACTCACTTTTAATCCCAGCACTCAGGAGGCAGAGGCAGGAGGATCTCTGAGTTCTGGGCCAGCCTGGTCTACAGACCTAATTCCAGGACAGCCGGGGATACACAGAAAAAATCCTGTCTCAAACTCCCCCCTCCACCCCTTAAAAGTTGTACTATTTAGACAATAACAGTGCCACTTGGTACATTTTTTTCCCCTGTTTTTAGGGTGGACTGCGTAGGAATCTTGAAGCTGAGGAATGCTGATGTTGAAGCCAGAATAGGAATTGCTGGTTCCAAGAAAAAGAGCACTCGTGCCAGATTGGTTTTTCGAGTTAATATCACAAGGAAAGATGGCTCCACTCTGACATTGCAGACACCCTCTTCTCCCATTTTGTGTAGTAAGTAAGAAAATGTGGAGATGCTAGATACATGAAGAGTTCTTAAGTTTTGTCAATTTTTCAGGTATCTGTAAATTTTAATGTTTTATACTTCAGCCCATGAACATGTCAAACTTCAAACATTTTAAAGCTGTAGTCAAGAGAACACAATGGCAAGCACTTATGCTCCTAGCCATTTGGGAAGCTGACACAGGAAGACAGCTTGAACCCAGGAGTTAAAATCTAGACTGGAGGGGCTGGAGAGATGGCTCAGAGGTTAGGACTCCCTGGCTGTTCTTCCAGAGGACCCGGGTTCAATTCCCAGCAAACCACATGGTGGCTCACAACCTCTATAATGAGATCTGGAGTCTTCTGGCATGCATGGATACATGCAGGCAGAACACTGTGTACACAATAAATAAATATTTTTTAAAAATCCAGACTGGAGAAAATAACGTCACTGTCTCTTTGACCAAAAAACAAAAGAAAACCAAAATAACAGTTGTAAGCTGGATATGGCACAAGCTGTAATCCTAGTAACTAGGAGTAGAAGCAAGAAGACTGCCGTGAGTGTAGGCCAGCCTGTTCTGAGAGACACGGTATGTCTCAGATTGCAAGTCATCCTTAGTGAGGTTAAGGACAGCCTGAGCTACTGGAAATCCATTTCAGAATATAAAAATATTAAAATACATTGGAAAGGTACTTAGCTATTTATAGGTTCCTGTTATCATCATATATACTGATCTTAAAAAGGGCTGGAGAGATGGCTCAGAGGCTATGAGGACTGGCTGCTCTTCCAGAGGTTCTGAGTTCAATTCCCAGCAACCATGTGGTGGCTCACAACCATCTCTAGTGGGATCTAATGCCTTTCTGGCATAAAGGCATACATGCAGGTAGGGCACTCATACATAAAATAAATAAATCTTTAAAAAAAATGTAAAAAGGCTGGAGAGATGACTCAGAAGTTAAGAGTGCTGGTTGCTCTTCCAAAAGACCTTGATTTGATTTCTAACACCCACAGGGTAGCTCACAACTGTCTGTAATTCTAGTCCCAGGAATCTGATGCCCCATTCCATCTCCATGGGCAGTGAGTGCATGCATGTGGTACACAGACTTACACGCAGGCAAAACACATAAAATTAAGGTAAATTAAAAAAATATTTTAAGTAATTTGAGGGCTGTCAAGATGGCTCAGTAGGTGAAAGTACTTGTGGTCAAGCCTTGTGATATGAGTCGGGTCCCTGGAATCCACATGGCAAGAGGACTGACTCCCACAAGTTGTGATACACAATAAATGATAATGTAGTTTTTAAAATATTTCCCAGCAATGTCCCCCCTAATAAGTCACTTAAATAGGATGCCAGAAGGCAGTTGCCAACCCCCATGATTTCCAGGCATCTTTACCATGTGTTAGAACATTAAAGTGAAGCAAGCTTTGTAAATAACTTTGTAAATAATGGCAGGTCACATTTCTTGTTACAAGTAGTGGTGGTACAGCACAGTGCTTGTGAATGAGAAATGAAACTCTTACCTCTAACTTTAGTATAGAACGAAAACAAGTGAAGCTGGGTGGTGGTGGTGGTGGTGGTGGTGGTGGTGGTGGTGGTGGTGGTGGTGGTGGTGGTGGTGGTGGTGGTGGTGGTGCACACGCCTTTAATCCCAGCATTTAGGAGGCAGAGACAGGCAGATCTCTGAGTTTGAAACCAGCCTGGTCTACAGAGAGAGTTCCAGGACAGCCAGGGCTACACAGAAAAACCAAAAAAAATAAATAAATAAAACAGAAAACATGTGAAAGTGTGCCTTTAAGTTCAATGATAGTATTATGTGGCTTTTACTATTGTTATAGTTTTAATTATTACACTAATAAATAAATTTCTTCCTTGTTTAATTATTACAGATCAATTTATTTTATATTATGTGCATATGTGTTTTGCCTGCATGTTTGTTTGTACATTATGTGCCTGCCTGGTGCCTGAGGAGGTCAGAAGAGGACATCAGATCCCGTATAACTACAATTACAATTATGAGTCACCATATGGTACTGGGAACCAAACCTGGACCTATGCAAGAGCAGCCAGTGCTTTTAACTGTTTAGCCATCTTTCCAGCTCTGAGAATTTTTAATGTATTATTATTTCTCGAGGTTTTTACTGTGGTTTACTTGGATTATTTTCATTGACTTTTGGGGGATGGGGGTAGGATCTTGATAAGGGGCCTACAATTAAAGGTCATTCATACTGGGTCAATAATCCCGGCACTCGGGAGGCAGAGGCAGGTATATCTCATGAGTTCCAGGCCGACCTGGTCTACAGAGTTCCAGGTTAGCCATGGCTACACAGAGAAACCCTATCTCTGTATGGAGATCATCCAGACTCTGTTTGTTTGTTTGTTTGTTTGTTTGTTTTGTGTATGTGAGTGTGTGTGTTGGTATGGACAAGTGTGGATACAAGAACATGTGCATGTGCACAGCTTGTGTGTGTCTTCCTTAGGCACTCTCCACCTTATTTTGAGACTGGGCCTCTCACAGAACCTGAAGCTCATAGATTTGTCTAGGGCGGCTGGCCAGTGAGTTTCAGGGATCTTCCTTTCTCCACCTTCCAGCATGTGCTGCCACACTGGCTTTTATGTGAGTGGTAGGCACTTTACCGACTGGGCATCTTTCCAGCTTTACCTCAGTCTCTTAAGTGCTGGGATTATAGGCCTGACTTGGCATTGCTTTTTTATAACTCATATTTGACTTCCTGTTAGCTTATTATAGGTATTATGACCTGTTTTCTTTTTGGTTTTTTTGTTTTGTTTTTATTGTACTAGTTTTGTCAAATAATTACCACAACTATTCTTTAACTTAGCAAACACACAAATTTTACATCTATTATTTATTGTGTGTTTGTGTATGTATGTATTATGTGTTTAGATGTATGTTTGCCACAGTGCACACTCAAGGTCAGAAGACTGCTTGTAGGAATGGATTCTCTGCTTCTGCCATGTGGATTCTGGCACTCTAATCAAGTCTTCAGAGCCATGGCACTAACTCAAACACACTAATTTTTTAAAAAATAGATTTTTAGGGACTGGTGAGATGGCTCAGAGGTTAACACTGACTGCTCTTCCAGAGGTTGTGAGTTCAATTCCCAGCAACTGTATGTTGCCTGACAACCATCTATAATGAGATCTGGTGCCCTCTTCTCGCCAGCAGGTATATATGGAGGAGGACCACTATAAATAATACATAAATCTTTTTTAAAAAATAGATTTTTACTTAGTGTGAATGGCTGTTTTTGCCTGCATATCTGTTTACCACATTGTGCCTGATGCCCACAAAGGCCAGAAGAAGATAACAGATCCCCTGGAACTGGAGCCATGTAGGTGCTGGGAATTGAGCCTGACCACTTGAGTTTGATAGTCTGGACCCACATGGCAGAAGTAAAGAACTGACTCCTGTAGGTTGTCCTCAGACCACCCACCCACTGTGGCATGTGTACATGCATGTACAGAGAGAGACACAGGTGAACACACAGTCTAAAATAAATACAATGTAATTAAAAAATTCGTGATCAACAGAAACAGTTAATAAAACTAGATTCATGATATAAGTTGTTTGTAGATAAGAATTAAGTGTTGGTGGCTGTTTTTATGGAGTGTTTATGTGTGTATATCCACAGCTCAGCCAGCAGGAGTTCCTGAAATCTTAAAGAAAAGCTTGCATAGCTGTTCAGTAAAAGGAGAGGAAGAAGTGTTTTTAATTGGGAAGAACTTTCTAAAAGGAACTAAAGTTATTTTTCAGGAAAATGTTTCTGGTAAGTAGGCATATAACTGGTCGATAGTGTTCCATGTTTCACTTGTTATGAAAATACAGTTAAAGCTAAAGCTACAGAGTGAGAAAGTTCAAAAAATTTTAAATCACTGTTATTATTTCCATCAGATGAAAACTCTTGGAAATCAGAAGCTGAAATAGACATGGAATTGTTTCATCAGGTATATAACTTAAACTTTTTAAATATTTTTGTTGTTTATTCTGAGCAATTCATTTTTAGCTTCACTCAGTTATTTGAGGTTCTTTCCAGTTCTGACATTTTATTTCTTCTGTCACATAATCAGGTAACCCCCACTCTCCATGACCAGCAGTAATGTCCTCCAGAGCACTATTGACAGGAACAAGTGGGATCCTTGCCATACCAAGCTTGTAATAGATACCCATGGAAGACTTGTCAGTTCATTTCATTGTCCCTGAAGGAAAAGTGAACTTTGATCTAAAGTCTGCTTTTTCTGAGGGCACTTCAACTCCTCGTTCTAATTTAATTGTTATGTACCTAGTTTTACTAGTAATTGAAGTCTTATTACTCCATAGAATACTTTCTTGTGCTGTGAACATGTTTTGTTTTTCTGTTGTTATTACTAATTTAGACAGGGTCTCACTATGTACGTGTTTTGGGTTTTGACATACTGGTTAGATTAATATAATCTCTATTTTAGTATTCTCTATCCACTTTACCCTCCCTCTCTCCCCTTTTATCATCCTTTCCTCATCCTCTTCTCTCTCATTTGTATCATTTTTCTCTCCTCCTCTTCCATCCATTTGTATATTCTTCCTTCCCTTCTGAGAAATGGGGTGTTATCCACCCACCCACCCTTTTTTTTTCTTATGTAGTCTAGGCTGGTTGTAAACTCGCTATATAGCCGAGGATAACCGTGAACTTTGCTGCCTCTGCTTCCCAAGTGCTGGGATCATAAACATGCCTGGTTTCTACAGTACCGGGGGTGAAACCCAGGGCTTCATGTGTGCTAGGCAAGCACTCTACCAATTGAGCCATGTCCATCCTCAGCCCAATAATTAAATTTACATTTAAAAATATATATGATGTATATGGGAGCATGCATAGCATATAGTGTGTGTGTAAGTCAGGACAGATTTATGGACTTGGCTTTGTCCTTCCATATGATCCAGGTATCAAATCCAGGTTATCAGGTTTGTGTGGCAGGTGGAATGCAGCGGTCTTTAGAGGGTTGTGAATTTATTGTTGTTTTACTATTGTATGGTGGGGGTGTGTGCATGTGGTAGTCAGAGGACAACTCTGTGGAGTCAGTTCTCTCCTTCCACATTTCTGTGGGTTCCAGGATCAAGCTAGGTCATTAGGCTTTTTCAGCAAGCATTTTTACCTGGTAAGCCATCTCCCCGGCCCTGTCTTGGACTTTCTGCAAATGAGTTTATAAACAAACTAAATCATAACAGTGATAGGTCATTGGTTCTGTGGTTTTGCTCATTTTTTTTTTGTTTGTTTGTTTTTTTTTTTTTTTTTGGTTTTTCAAGACAGGGTTTCTCTGTGTAGTTTTGGTGCCTGTCCTGGATCTCGCTCTGTAGCCCAGGCTGGCCTCGAACTCACAGAGATCTGCCTGCCTCTGCCTCCCGAGTGCTGGGATTAAAGGCGCGTGCCACCACCGCCCGGCTTGCTCATTTTTTTAAAAAAAATTTTTCTTTCAGAAAGAGAGAGAGATAAGTGCCTTTCTGGGAAACATTTTCTTAGAATAGAGTAAGATCTGGTATCCTAGAGAATTGACCTAGAACTCGTATTAAATGGAGAACAAAAATGAAGTATTAGAGAGAGGAAGAGGTGTTGAAATAAACAGGACTTTGGAGCTGGCATGGTGGCGCACACACACCTGTAAGACCCAGCATTTAGAGGTTGAGCAGGGAGGAGTGAGACTTACAGGCCAGTCTGGCAAGGTGTTTCAAATGACGTGAGTGCGTTTTGTGTATGGTAGATACTATTATCCTGACAGACTGTGGGCAGAACACCCTAGATCTTTGTGGACCTTCTACTTTTTGTTGTTTGAGATGGTTAAAAAGTACTGTTAGGAAAATAAATGTGATTGGGTTGGGGAAGAATACTGCTTCTAAAGAATGGGCAGGGAAGGGAAGACTTCTGAGGAGGTGGCGTTTGTATGTAAGACCTGAGTATGGGTATGGAACTTGCCATCTGAGAAGATGAAAATGCTACAGTTGGAGAGAACAAGTCTGAGATAAAGCTGAGTTTAATAATTAAAAGGATAGACAACATTTAAGTTTAAAAAAGGTCAATTAGCTATAGTGTATTAAGCCATTGGGAAAGTAGGAATGAAATGAAGTTGATCAAGCGGGGACCTTGTGATGTGTTGTAAAACATTTGGGCTTTACCATGAAAGAAATATTAAGATGAATGACATGGTGCCTATCAACCTTTAAGTCATCATTTTTTGCTTGGTGTAGTGGCCTATACCTGTAGTCCCTGAATGTGGGCTTTGAATGAAGCAGGAAGATCTACAGATTGAGGCAACTTTGAGCTCCATAGCAAAGACCTGGCTGTAAAAATCTAGTGCATTTTTTTCTAATCAAACTTTTAAAAACTGTACAGGTAACAGGTAATATGCTTATTTTTTTCTTTTAAACATTGGCTTCCTTTCTGATTCTTACACTTTTCTTTAATTAGAACCATCTTATTGTGAAAGTTCCCCCATATCATGACCAACATATAACTTTGCCTGTGTCAGTGGGAATATATGTTGTGACCAATGCTGGAAGATCTCATGATGTTCAGCCATTTACTTACACTCCAGACCCAGGTATGTCAAAATGAAAAATTCTAAACTAAAATGAATAATTAATTTTTAGTCCTTTGAAAAAGTTTGAAGTCCAGACAACCAAAAAGAAAAAAAAGGGGCGGGGGGACTATAAGTATGAATTTTTATTAATTTGATTTGGAGATGGGTAGTATTTTCTAAAAATACAGCTATAAGATACTACTGCTACTCTTAGAATCATTTCCACCTATTCTCAATAATAAAAGAGCTGACAGTGCTTGAGCTCAGGTGCTCCAGAGTTAGTCACAACTTGCTTCCTAGTGAAGATCCCTCACTAGTCATTGAGTGCCTTTTAAACGCAGAAGGTGAAACTCACAACTGGAAATTGCTAATACTTTAGTTTGTCTGGATTATGAGGCCTTTTTTTTTCTCCTCCTGATCATACTGGGTTTGATTCCAGGGCCTTAGTATCCTAATCACATGCTTGACCACTAAACTATATACCTCTGGCCCTAGTGTGCATTCTGAGAAGGTGAAAAGGAGAAACTTGGAATGATAATTAACAACACAAAAACTATCAGACTGATGATAAATATTTTGGTGGGGTTTTTTTGTTTGTTTGTTTGGTTGGTTGGTTGGTTTGGTTTGGTTTTTTGAGACAGGGTTTCTATGTGTAACAGCCCTGGCTGTCCTAGAAGTCTATGTAAACCAGGCTGTCTGCCTCTGTCTTCTGAATGTTAGGATTAAAGGCATGAGCCACCACCTCCCGTAATAATGTTTCAGATATAATTTTAAGCACTTCATGGTTTAGAAATCAGGGTGGCATGTGCCTTTAATCCCAGCAGGTGGATCTCTGTGCATTCCAGGATAGCCAGAACAGTTACAGAAACCGAGAATCCCGATCTAGGTGGGGAGAGGGGGGGAAGAAATCAGAGTGTAGGAGACCAACCCCCGCGTTTATTTATCCCAGAGACTCTTGAGCAGTGAGGGATTTTTGAGCAGTGAGGGATAAGAGACTTAGTTAGAAATAAAGAGGGGAGAGAAACTCGGGATAGCCTCAAGTGGGCCTAGATCCTTATCCACCGGCCCAGAGCTTTATTCCAAAGGGCTTTTTATAACAGTGCCAAGGGGAGGGGCAAAGGACCTCCCCCTAGCTAGGTACAGCCAAGTGTAGACCCTCTTACGCTGTCGTGCTGAGTACAGCCACCAGGAAACCTAGAAGGCTCCAACATCAGAGCACAAAAGCAACTGAAATGTTTAAAGTATAGATGATATTTAGCTGAAACATGACTTAAGAGTTATTTGCCTATTTTATTTAGTTACCTGAAGAATTAAAGCCTCTGATAGAAATGGGAAGAGCTTTTTGGAAATGAAAATTACTGGCTTGTTGCATTGCCTGGGGGCTCAGTTTCTGCTATAGTTATTATTGGCTCAGTTTGTTCTAATGAGTACTATTTCAGAATGCAGTTCTGCATCTGCAGTTTATTGACAATGTTATTCCCACATACTTCAGGACCCAGTGAGATAGAAGGTGAGGAAAAGTAATAGAGAAAGAAAGCTCCTGCTCCAAAAAAATCAAGGCAGAGCTGAGGAGATAGTTCAGTCAGTAAAGTGCTTGCCTTGCAAGCATGGGGACCTGAATTGATTCCCAGAACCCATAAAAAGCTGGACACACTCTTGTGATCCCAGCTCTGGGGAGACAAGACAAGTAGATCATTGGAGCTTGCTGGCCTGGGTGTTGGGACCCCTGGAACTAGAGTTACATAGTCAGTTGGGAGCTGCCATGTGGATTCTGGGAACTGACTTTGAGTCCCCTATGAGAGTAGCAAGTGCTCTTAATCAGTGAGCCATCTCTCCAGTCCCCAATTTTGTCTTTTTATTCAGTTAGAAATAACTTTTGATGTTGTTATGAGAAATAATTCATTAAAAGTAAACCAATTCAAATCTCATTTTGGATATGTTTATAAATGTAAAATAAATTAATTGAGAGTCATGACATGCCCACCTCCCCCATACTAATAATAATTTTTTTTTCCACCGAGACAGGGTTTCTCTGTGTAGTTTGGGTGCCTGTCCTGTATCTCACTCTGTAGACCAGGCTGGCCTCGAAATCACAGAGACCCGCCTGCCTTTGCCTCCCAAGTGCTGGGATTCAAGGCATGCGCCACACCACTGCCCGGCACTAATAATAATTTTTTAAAAAATGCTTAAAGCACTGAAAGCCAGGGTATGTGATTCCAGTTTGTAGTCTCAGCACTCAGGAGACTATAATGCATTAAGATTGCCAGTTGAGTCCAACCTGAGCTACATAGGAATACTGTACTTCAAAACCAAACAAACAAGCCTTGACAAATAGAAATTAGAATGTGTTTTAGATAAAAATAACTGGGTCCAGCAAGCTTGCTCAGTGCATAGTGGCCTAGCAGCCCAACTTCAGTCCCTGAGACCCATGTGGTAGAAGAGAACCACTTCCCACAAGTTGTCCTTTGACCTCCACATATGTGCTGTTGTACATGTGTATGCGTGCATATAAACAGTAAATAAATAATTTTTTTAACTTTTGATTTTTTAAGGCAGGATTCTCAGAGATCCACCTGCCTCTGCCTCTGCGTTAAAAACATTTTTAATATGTTTGAGAGTTCAGTCTGTAGTGTTAAAGTGCTTGGGCATGAAACCCTGAGTTTGCTCCCTGCTCCCTGAACACATTTTCCAGCTGTGATGGTGTGACTTTGTAAGTACCAGAGCCAGTGAGTTGGAGATAGGAGAGTCCCTGAGACTTGTTGGCCAGCCAAACTACCCTAATTAGTAAGCTCCAGGCCAATGAGAGACCCTGTCTTAATAGACAAAATCAGTGGTTCCTAGGGACAGATACCTGAGGTTTACCTCTGGCCTCTTACACAAATGGGCACACATGTGCACATGTATCTACACATACTTGAACACACACATCCATATAACAAAGGGAATTAAAAAAAATATGGGCTAGGGAGGTGGTTCAATCAGTGAAGTACTTGCTGCACACAGGTAAGGACCTGAGTTCCATGACCAGGGCCCACACAACAAAAATCTGACTACAGCGGTGCATGCTGGAGAGAGGGGTCAGTAGTTCTTTAGTTAGGGTTTCTATTGCTGCAATAAAACACCATGACCAAAACAGAAGTTGGGGAGGAAAGGGTTTTATTTGGCTTACACTTCAGTATCACTATTCATCACTGAAGGAAGTCAGGACAGGAACTCAAACAGGGCAGAAACCTGGAGGCAGGACCTGATGCAGAGGCCATGGAGGGGTGCTTCTTACTGGCTTGTTTCCCTTGGACTACCAGCCCAGGGATGGAACTACTCACAATGGGCTGGGCCCTCTCCCATCAGCCACTAATTAATAACATGCCTTATAACTGGATGTTATGGAGGCCTCTTCTCAATTGAGGTTCCCTTCTTTCAGATAACTCTAGGTTGTGTGTCAAGTTGACATCAGATTAGGCAGCACAGTGGATATGAGCATTTGTTGCTCTTGCGGAGATCCCAGGTTCAGTTCCCAGCACCCATATGCACTGGGGAGGTGGAGGCAGGACGATCTGTGGGGTGATAGCCAGCCAGTCTAGCTAAATCCATGACCTCCTGGTTTAACTAGGACAGTAGTTCTCAAACTTCCTAATGCTTTGGTCCTTTAATACAGTTCCTCAGGTGGTGGTGACCCCCCCCATAAAATTACTTCTTTGATACTTAATAACTGTAATTTTGCCACTGTTATGGATCATAAATATCTGGAATGCAGGATATCTGATAAGTGACCTCCGTGAGGTCATGACCCACAAGTTGAGAACCACTGGGAAGGCCAGGCAGAGGTGGCACACCCTTTAATCCCAGCACTCAGGAGGCTGAGGCAGGTGGATCTCTGTGAGTTCAAGGCCAGCCTGGTCTACAGAATAAGTTCCAGGCTAGACTCCAAAGCTACAGAGAGAGAAATCCTGTTTGGGAAAACTAAAAGAGACAGGGGTGAGGAAGAGAGAACACACCACTAGGAAAGGAACCCTTGTCTCAAAAAAAGGTGGAGGGGAATCCATGAAACGTAGAATAATGACCATTTGAAGCCAAACCTACTCATTTGCAGTTCAACATTATTATTTAGAAATGACCTTTTTTCTTCAGCGCATTAAATTAAAAGCTGTTACAGAAGATTTAATAGTAGCCTTGGAGTTCTCTGTTAATGCTAGTAACGAGATGTAGTGTGTTCATCTTGCATATTTTAATTTACTTTAAATATTGACAAATGTTTTTTCATATAGGTAAATGATAAATTTTTTTCTTGCTAGTGCTCTAATATAGATGTTAAGTTTTAAATGGCTGATATTTGGTGTCAGTCTTCCATTCATCTCGTGTTACCAACATGTGCAGTGTTAACAGAATTCTTAAATTTTTCTGTTTTGTAAAGTGATCATATGTTCTATCTACTTGGAGATGAGTATATTTTAGAGGGTAGTCTGCTGGCAGTAAAAAGATTACCTCAACCTTGGATTTATAGTAAATAAGTCAGTGATGTGCTGAGAAAATATTCCAGTTAAAGAGTATTAGAATATGTATTTTACCAGGATCAATAAATTGAAATAAATGTATGACTTTTATTTTCAATAGCAGCAGCTGGTGCTTTGAATGTAAATGTGAAAAAGGAGATATCTAGTCCAGCAAGACCTTGCTCCTTTGAAGAAGCCATGAAAGGTACCAAGTTGATATTTCTCAGATACTAATTTGGCCATCCTATGTGTTCACTAGTAAACCTTAGTTAGTGCTTTGTTTTCTCTGATGTATTGCGGTACTTAGCCAGGTGTTTTCCAAATTATAAAATAAATATGTTTAACTTCACGGATGCAGAGACTTATTTTTCAACTTGATGTTTTCCTTCATTTAGCATATTGATATACTTTAAAAACAAAACAAAAACATAATAGACCAAACATGATGGTGCGTGTTTGTAATCCTAACATTTGGGAGGCAAAGGAATCATAAGTTCAAGACCACCATAGGCTATGTAGAAAGACCTTATATCAAATGACAACAAATATGTTAGAGTAGAGGAGTTTGTTTTTAAATTCTTCAGTTTAGAAAAAAACAAAAAACAAAACCTTCAAGGGGGACTGGAGAAATGGTCCAGCCCTTTAGAGCACTGACTCTATTTCCAGAGGACCTGATTCCGTTCCCAGCTCCCACATGGCAGCTCATAACTGTCTAATCCCTGTTCCCAGGGATCAGACTCCCTCACACAGACATACATGTAGGCAAAACACCAATGTACATAAAAAGAAAGAAAAACCCTTAAGGGCCTTCAGGATGCCTCAGTGGATAAAGGCATTTGCCAGTGGGCCAATGACTTGGGTTAAATCCCCCAAGCACACATGGTGAAAGAAGAGAACCAACTCTTAAATGTTGTCCTCTGACCTGCACACGTACTATGGCACTTGGGTACCCATACATACACACAGATAAATACTTAAATAGGAAAAAAAAAAAAAGTCCAAACCCCAAGCCCCTTAAAAGTAATGTGTATAAATCACACAAAAAAGTAAAACAGAAGCCTGCTGGCAGTGGTGTACACCTTTGATCCCAGTATTCAAGGGGTAGAGGCAGGCTGATCTCTGATCTCTGCCTGGTCTGCAGAGCAAGTTCCAGGACAGCCAGAGCTGTTACACAGAGATACCTTGTCTCAAACCCCAGCCCCACCCCCCTGCTCCAAAAAAAAAAAAAAATGTAAAGCAGCAATTTTGAATCTTTCTTCTTAAAGGGATTATATTTGTTACTGATACTGAAATATGAACTGTAGGTATATGAAAAGTTGCCTTGGCTCTAACCATTCTTTCCTCCTGACATGTTTATTTACTGACCTACCAATTTAAGAGGTTTGTTTGTTTGTTTGTTTGTTTTTTGAGATTGTAACAGCCCTGGCTGTCCTGGAACTCAAACTCCAACTCAGAGATCCGCCTGCCTCTGCCTCCTCAGTGCTTGGATTGCCCTCCCAATGTAAAACAAAGAACAACAGAAACAAGTACGATGGCACATGCCCACAGTGCCAGTGCTGGGGTATCTGAGACAGGAATTTCATGATCTCAAGGCCTTTCTAGCCTACATAATAAAACTGTCTCAAAAAACCCAAGGACAAAGGAAACCATGAATATAAAGTGATTTAAGTCAAGTCTGTTACAAAGTGGTAGGGCAGATTACTGCTCCACAATTTATAGTATGTTGTGATGATGCTTTTATGCCTTTACCTATGAAGGTACAGATTGCATTATGGCACAGTTCTGTAATTCTTTTTTTTTTTTCAATTTTCTACCTTTTAATTCATGTGGATTAAGTTATATATAGGGACATAAGGAGCTCGATAAATCTTACCAGTTACAATGAAACTTTTCTGTAGTAAAACTGAGTGTTTACATGTAGAACAGTTCCTTACAGCTTGCTGTTGTAATTGTGACCACGAACATTTTCCAGAGTAGATTAGTAAAAAACTATGCATTTGCAAATAGACTGGGAAGCTTGTCAGACTCAACTAAAGAGATCCATAGGCCTGGCCATTTAACTACTGCTATTGAGCATTTACTTGTAGGATCTGTGTCAGCCATTAAAATAAATTCAGTCAGGCGGTGGTGGCATATACCTTAATCCCAACCCAGCACCCAGAGGCAGGTGAGTCTCTGAGTCTGAGGATAGCCAGGGCTACACAGAGAAACTCTGTCTCAAAAAGAACCAAAGGGAAAAAGAAATTAATTCATTCATGTTTGTTAGATGAATACTCTAATTACTACAGAACATCAGGTATGTTTGTAATCTGTCCTGTTTGTTTTGAGGCAGAATCTCACTCTGTTAACCAGGCTGGCCTGGAACTCCTGGCAGTCTCTTGTCTCAGCCGCCAGCATGTTGGGATTACAGGTGTGAGCCATGGTGCTTAACTTTCATAGAGAGTTCATAGAGAGTCAGGTCCAGTAGATCACAACCCCATCCTATATAGAATATCATATAAAAGGACATGCATTGAATGTTTTAAAAGCCATGGTTTGGTTTTGTCTTTAGTGGTAAAAAATTTAGTCCTTTAAATAAAATCTTACTAGCCAAAAATAAATAAATAAATAAATAGCTGAATATGAAAAGGACAATTCAGACCTTATTTTTGATAAATACCTTATCAATTAAAAGTAGAGTAAAGTAGAGGAGCTGGAGAGATGGCTCAGTGGTTAAGAGCGCTGACTGCTTTTCAGAGGACCTGGTTCAATTCCCAGCACCAACATGGCAGCTCACAACTATCTATAATTCCAGTTCCAGAGAACCAGACACTCATGGCAAAACACCAATACACAAAAAATAAAAATAAATAAGCTTAAAAAAAAGTAGGGTAAAATAATTTTGTGAAGATGTAAACTAAACTGACTTCTAAACTGTCTTATAGATTTAAACTATAAATTTGTTACCATAAAATAAGTAGCAATTCTTGTTCTATATTAAAAGAAAATAATAGCTTCAGAACTAGGACTTTTCCATAACAAATAGCTTATATTTAACGATTCTTTGAAATCAAAGCTTTAGTACTGTGCCAGAATGCTAAGTGGAAATATATTTATTTATTTATTTATTTATGTTTAAAGATTTATTTATATGTATACAGTATTCTGCCCGCACATATCCCTGCAGGCCAGAAGAGGGCACCAGATCTCATTACAGATAGTTGTGAGCCACCATGTGGTTGCTGGGAATTGAACTCAGGACCTTTGAAAGAACAAGCAGTGCTCTTAACCTCTGAGCCATCTCTCCAGCCCGCTAAGTGGAAATTTAATCAGCAATACTTGAATGATACAAATTCCTGTTGCAGCAATAATCCTTTAAGGATCATTCTTAAAAATAGCCATGACTTATGTTTAGATCTTGAGCCTCAAAAATAATACTGTGGCTACATATTGAAAGCTCTCTCTAAAGTAGGCTTCTTCCCCAATCCCCATGTGTGTAGGGGGTGCCCTTGGAGGCCAGAAGGTGTCTGTCTTCTAGGACTGGAGCTGCAGCTTGTTGTTTGTTGTCAGCAGTGTGGATGCTAAGTATCAAATCCACATCCTCTGAAAGAGCCATCAGTGCATTTATCTACCAAGCCTCTCACTAGCTCTTCCTGAGAATATTTCTAGATGTTTTTCAGTACTTTCATTGGTGCAGGTAGATTTGAGTATAAACAGACTGCTCAATGGGTCATGTTTAGGACCTAGGGATAAAGTACTAATGTAATAAATTTTCCATCTCTGCCTTATATCTTTCTGTCATCTTTGTATCACCCTGCTTGTAGTGTGTGGTTAATGTGATGAGTTTAAACAAGAATTGAGAGCATATAATTTTCTTTAACTGGTTGTAATTGTGTAGCAAGATTAAGGCTTGAAAGAACTGTGAAAATAATCTAGTACAACCCCATTTTGTAGGTGAAAGGCTGGAGTTCTAGCCTCAGTGGTAGAGTGCTGGCCTTTCATGTACATGCGGGCCTAGCTTTGATCCCTTTAAACAAAACAAAACAAAAAACTTCTACAGGTATGCTGGCACACACCTTTTTTTTTTCTTTTAATCCCAGCACTTAGGAGGCAGAGGCAGGCAGGTCTCTGAGTTGGAGGCCAGTCTAGTCTACATAGCGAGTTCTCAGACAGCCAGAGATCTGTAGAGAGAGCCTGTCTCAAAAAAGCAATATCATTTATATAAGCAAATAAACCAAGGCTAAGAAAGATTAAGTGAAAATTAGTAAATGACAGCAGTTGAAATTTAAGCAAGATGTTTTGATTTAATTTGAAAAAAAAAAATTTTTTTTTTTTTGAGACAGGGTTTTTCTGTATAACAGTCCTGGCTGTCCTGGAACTTGATTTGTAGACTAGGGTAGCCTCGAACTCACAGAGATTCCCCCTTGCCTCTGCCTCCCAAGTGCTGGGATTAAAGGCATATGCCACCACTGTGTGGCTGGTTTGATTTGAATTTTGAGACAGAGTCTCACATTATAGCTCATGCTGGCCGAAATTGATGACAGACCCCTTGCCTCAGCCTCTTAAATGTAATTACAGGCCTGCGCCTCTATTCAACCACCTCATAATTTTGAGTCTTGCTCTGTAGCCCAAACTAACCTCAAACTTGTGATCTTTCTGCTCCAATCTCCCAGTAGCTTAGATTGCAAGCATATGCCACCACATTCAGTTTTCTTTTAAATCTCCACTCATACTTATTTATTATTTAAATATATACTTATTTATATTTTTTTAGATTTATATGTATGAGTATGTACACCACTTGCATGCCTGGTGCCCATGGAGGCATCAGACTTCTGGAATTGGTTAACTCATACTTCAGATAAAATTTATATTTGATGTGAATTCTACTTGCTGACAACATACTTTTAGAAAAATTATTTTTCTTGATTTTCTAAAGTTATTTCATATAAATGACAATAGCAATGTTCTTCACAAGTTTACCTCATGGGAATAATGAAATATGTCTTTATTATCTACCGTCTAGCTCTTCTGAGTTGTTTTAAAAGATACCTTACTAGCCATTAGCATTAGGTAACACACAGACTTTATGTTTTGAGTTTTTTATTCCTCACTGAAATAAAATTTTCAGGAAATGGAGACATTTTTTATCATCACTGGACCCTCAGAACATAGAATAGTGCCTAGAATATTAAGAACTCAGTACACGCACATTGGAAATGGGGAAAGGAAAAATACTAGTAATAATTCAAGCCTTTTAATTGAAAAAAATTGTGTGTGTGTGTGTGTGAGAGAGAGAGAGAGAGAGAGAGAGAGAGAGAGAGAGAGAGAGAGAGAGAGAGAGATTGGTATCACAGTTACAGAAGGCTTTCTAATCTATCACTGCTGGTGTTGCTAGGGTAAGAATCATCTATGTGGGTTGCCTCTGCTCCATCTGGGTACATGTGACAAACTGGGATGGAACCCCATGTCTGGTTGGCTTTCTGATAGCAAGCTGACATTTTTGTTTTTTTGAGACAGGGTCTCTCTACATAGCCCTGGCTGTCCTAAAACTTACTATGTAGACCAGGCCAGCTTAGAACTCAACAAAGATCCACCTGCCTCTGCCTCCCAAGTGCTGGGATTAATAGCATGGGCCACACCCAGCTCTAGTCAGCTGACACTGACTTTTGTCACTAGGTAGAGGGTTAGAAGATTCCTAGCTTAGATGTTCTACTTGGGTGGAGTGCTAGCGGCCATTGGGGCTTCCTAAGGGTAAGGAAATACTGAGCTTGCATGTATCATCAGTATGGAGAAGACTGACTTGCTCTTGTGTGGCATGGCACAAGGGACGCACTGGGATCCATTGTTGTCATTTCTGGAAGGCAGACTGACTTGCTGCTTCATATGCATAGCTTGGTGTACACTAGCTCTCCTGAGGTCAACTGTGGGCTCAGTGCTGCTGACAGGTGGAGGTACTAGGTTACTGGCCCCTTCAGGTTCTGCTGTTGCTGCAGCATGTGTGGTGGAGGTATTTGGCTCCTGAACTTTCCTAGTGTGCTTGTTGAGCAGATAAGTCATTTCAAAGTCCCTGGTCACTCCAATGACTTCTTTCTTTTTCAAATACTTTTATGATAGGTAACTTATTTATAAGCTATTTAGTAGTATTTAGGAGAGAAGCAGGGAAAACTTAGGTTATACTGTTTTTGACCTAGAACTCATAATTATGCTTTAAAAGGAAAGAAAAGAAAAGAAAAAAGAAAGAAAACATGCAGGAGAAATGCTTTCCTTACTTCTCCAAAGACACCAATAGCCCAGGGAAGCACCTTCCACTAGGTAGACAGCATCACACGAAGATCTGGGTAGAGTTAGGAATGGCCAGACCAGATAACCCAAAATAGAACTAAGTTGTCACTGTTACTTAGGTAAACCAGAACCTGACTGAGCAAGTTAAATCTGCTCAAGTCAATTTAAGGGAGTCAGGTCTCCTAACAAAATCCAAAGTGGCCTTGAAATAATTTTTTAAGTCATTTGTCATATTATGAACCAAGAAAACTCACAACTTAAATTAGAAAAGATAAGTGATGTGAATATTAAGATAAGTATTGGAACTCTCTAACAAAAAGTTAGACCATTAAATTAATACAACAAGTAATTTTGAGTAAAAATAGAAAATTTTAGTAAAGAAAGTGAATTCCAGTACAGCCAGGGCTACACAGGGAAACCCTGTCTCAAAAACAAAAACAAGCCAGGCGGTGGTGGCGCCTTTAATCCCAGCACTTGGGAGGCAGAGGCAGGCGGATCTTTGTGAGTTTGAGCCCAGCCTGGGCTATACCGTGAGTTCCAGGAAAGGCATAAAGCTACACAGAGAAACCCTGTCTCGAATAAACAAAAAAAAAAAACAAAACAAAAAAAGAAGTTCAGATCTTTGGCTTTGAGTTTAAGCCACCCTGGGAAACATGAGACTGTCTCCAAAAAAAAAAAAAAAAGTGCAGGGGACCAGAGAGATGACAACTCTAGTCCCAAGGATCCAGTGCCCTCCTCTGACCTTCAGGAATACATGGTACACATACTCGTAAACAGGCAGAACACTCATACACTTATGTAAAAATAAATATTTTTTAAGAGCAGGCATATCAAAAGGAAATTGAAAAATAAACTGAATAAAAATATAAACAATGACATTTGGAAGTTTGTGAGCTGCTAGGCATAGTGGCATGTGACCTGTAATGCTAGCACCCTGAGGCTGAGAAGGGAAGATGAAATGTTTGAGATCAGCATGAGCTGCATATTAGTAAAACCCATCTTAATAATCAGTATTTCTGCTGGGCTAGTGGTGGCGCACGCTTTAGTACCAGCACCCTTGGAGGCAGAAGCAGTCAGATCTCTGTGAGTTCAAGGCCAGCCAGGGCTACACAGAGAAACCCTGTCTTGAAAAAAACAACAACAACAAAAAAAACTGTATTTCTTTTCCAGAGTCTCAAACTTGTTGATTGGGCTTTAGCTGCATGATCAATTCAGAGACTGCCATTAGCAATAACAGTAGCCTCCATAAAGTACTAATGTCAAACTCAAGTAAAAGTAAAAAGAAAAGAATCAAAGATGGGGGTGGGTTGGGGTGGGAGGGGGTGGTGGTAAAAACAGAGTGGGAAGGTAGTAATTGCCTCTCCTAGCTGTAAATCGATAGCTGTTGGAAGTGGAGGGTGATAGAGGTAAAAAGTAGTTGAGAAATGCATTTAGTAATGTACCACCTTGAATTGTTCAAGTTCCTAAAGCATTGGTTCAGTGAATAAAAATTTATAAATTACTTGATATTTTCTTACATTTTTTGAGAGATACTTCAATAGTCTTAGCCTTTAAAAGGTTGGAACGCTTGGAGATTACCAGTCTGTATGCTAAAATAAGCTAAACGTGATCCTTGTTGCATTGTGTATAACTCAGGACACTTAGATGTGGCTTGTGGGATGCAGCTTAATAGTTGAACCATTTCAGTTTATTATTTATCCTACAATCAGGGGCATTTCTTTAGTGGTGGCGCTCTCTAGCTAACAGGTGTCCCTAGGGTTGATTACCTGGGATGCCTTCTCAGCCCATACCAAGGATCTTCAAGCCAGGTAGGGGTGGGGATGTAGCAGAGGAGGCAAGAGTGCCTACGTATGATGCATTAACCCTGGGCTCAATAATTGGCTTTGCATTTATTAGACATAGTGACCTACACATGCAGTGCCAAGTAAAGGCAGGAGGATCAGAAGTTTGAGGTCATCCTAGACTCCATATCTAGTTTGAGGCCAGCCTGGACTACACAAGAGTCTCTCAAAAATGGGATAAATGTATCATACATTATAGCATCAAAAAATAGACATTTAAGTAAATAAGTAAATATAATAGGCATTTAAGCCAGGTATGGTGATACAGCACACCCATACTTTGAGCTCTTGGGGGCTGAAGCAGGAAGATGACAAATTTGAGGCCAATCTAGACTGTATAGAGATTACTTCAAACGAAAAAAATAGATATAAACAATAGCTTATAGTAAACAGATTGTTTTTATGGTTATTTTGATGATTTACAATTTTTTTTTATGTGTGTAGCAATGAAAACGTCTGGATGTAACCTAGATAAAGTAAACATTCTTCCTAATGCCCTGATCACTCCACTCATGTCAAGCAGTATGATTAAGACTGAAGATGTTACTCCAATGGAAGTAACAGCAGAGAAAAGATCTTCCCCTATTTTTCAGGTGAGTTAGATTAACTAGTGCTCCTTTTTTTTTTTAAAGATTTATTTATTTATTTATTATGTATACAGCATGTATGACTACAGGCCAGAAGAGGGCACCAGATCCCATTACAGATGGTTGTGAGCCACCATGTGGTTGCTGGGAATTGAACTTAGGACCTCTGGAAGAGCAGTCAGTGCTCTTAACCTCTGAGCCATCTCTCCAGCCCAGTGCTCCATATCTTTATCTCACATATGAAAACTGCTATATACACCTTTCTTATTTCGTTGACATTTGTTTCCCATTGGATATACTTAATAAATTCTGCTCTTCAGAGCAAATGCTTTATATGTCAGTAAAATTGTTTGCAAGGTAATTTCCAATACACGTTTTGACAAGAGGAGGAATTAATACCTGTGAGATGAGGGACTTTTATAAAGGTATTGTAAGTTGGTCTTGGGGCTAAGGAACCAAGGCTGTAAGTTCAAGGCCAACCTGGCTACATAGAAAGACCCTGCCCCAAAAATTGATTGATTTTAGCATTTTCAGAGGTAGAAACATTTTGATTTTGGTTTCTTCTCTACTATCTTTTTAATTCCCCCTTTCACTCGTTTTTCCCCATTGCAATGTTACTGATGATCCACAATGTGGAAGTGTTTTAAACTTGATTACACACAAACCATAGGATTAATAGGATCAATGTCCTCTTATTATTCTTAATTTTGTTAAACATACCAAAAACTGATTATGATACTGAATGTCAGACATTAATTATCTCACGGAAAATCAGTCTTAACACCAACTTCTAGTTGATAGTGTAGAGTAGAAAATTTATTCTGTGTGCATTCGTAGAAATAATTTTTGAAGTAATAACTGTGATTACTTAATGTTTATATGTACATATTGTTTGTGACTTTTTCTTTTTTAGACTACAAAGACAGTTGGTTCGACTCAGCAAGCTTTAGAAACTATTCCTAACATAGCAGGAAACGCGTCTTTTTCGTCACCATCATCTTCCCACTTACCTTCTGAAAATGAAAATCAGCAGCAGCTTCAGCCCAAGGCATACAACCCAGAGACCCTGACAACTATCCAAACACAGGATATCTCACAGCCTGGGACTTTTCCAGCAGTTTCTGCTTCTAGTCAGCTGCCCAGCAACGATGCACTACTGCAGCAGGCTACACAGTTTCAGACAAGAGAAGCTCAGTCCAGAGATCCATTACAGTCAGATGGCACAGTGGTTAATTTGTCACAGTTGACTGAGGCATCGCCGCAGCAGCAGCAGTCCCCGCTGCAAGAACAAGCACAGACGTTACAGCAGCAGATCTCATCAAATATTTTTCCACCGCCAAATAGTGTGAGCCAGCTCCAGAGTACCATTCAGCATCTGCAAGCAGGAAGTTTTACAGGGGGCACTGCTGGTGGCAGCAGTGGAAGTGTTGACTTGGTCCAGCAGGTTTTAGAGGCACAACAGCAGTTATCTTCTGTTCTGTTTTCTGCTCCAGATGGTAATGAGAATGTTCAAGAACAGCTTAATGCAGACATTTTCCAAGTCAGTCAAATTCAAAGTAGTGTAAGCCCCGGAATGTTTTCCTCAACAGAGCCTGTAGTTCACACCAGACCAGATAACTTACTACCTGGGAGGGCTGACAGTGTCCATCAACCGACTGAAAACACACTATCTAATCAGCAACAGCAGCAGCAGCAGCAGCAGCAACAGCAAGTGATGGAGTCATCGGCTGCAATGGTGATGGAGATGCAGCAGAGCATTTGCCAAGCAGCTGCCGAACTATTTCCTTCAGCTGCTTCAGCAAATGGAAGCCTTCAGCAGTCTCCAGTTTACCAGCAGCCTTCTCACATGATGAGTGCACTGCCTACCAACGAGGACATGCAAATGCAGTGTGAGTTGTTCTCTTCTTCCCCTGCAGTTTCTGGAAATGAAACTTCCACAACCACCACGCCACAGGTTACAACCCCTGGCTCCACTATGTTTCAGGCGCCAAGTTCGGGAGATGGAGAAGAAACTGGAGCACAGGCAAAACAAATTCAGAACAGTGTCTTTCAGACCATGGTTCAAATGCAGCACAGTGGAGACAGCCAACCTCAAGTAAACCTCTTTTCATCTACAAAAAATATAATGAGTGTTCAGAATAGTGGTACCCAGCAACAAGGGAATAGCTTGTTCCAGCAAGGGAACGAGATGATATCACTTCAGTCTGGAAACTTTTTGCAGCAGTCTTCTCATTCACAGGCTCAACTCTTTCATCCTCAAAATCCTATTGCTGATGCTCAGAACCTTTCCCAGGAAACTCAAGGTTCAATTTTTCACAGTCCAAATCCTATTGTCCACAGTCAGACTTCCACAGCATCCTCTGAACAATTGCAGCCTTCAATGTTTCACTCACAGAATACCATGACTGTATTACAAGGCTCTTCAGTTCCACAAGACCAGCAATCACCCAACATATTTCTTTCCCAAAGTTCTATGAATAATCTACAAACTAATACAGTAGCCCAAGAAGAACAGATTTCATTTTTTGCAGCACAGAACTCAATTTCTCCACTTCAGTCAACATCAAACACTGAGCAGCAAGCTGCTTTTCAACAGCAGCCTCCAATCTCACACATCTCAACCCCTATTCTTTCCCAGGAACAGGCACAATCCACTCAGCAAGGTTTATTTCAGCCTCAGGTGGCCCTGGGCTCCCTTCCGTCTAATCCAATGCCTCAAAGCCAACAAGGAGCAATGTTCCAAACACAGCGATCAATCGTTGGCATGCAGAGTAACTCTCCATCTCAGGAGCAGCAGCAACAGCAGCAGCAGCAGCAGCAGCAACAACAACAACAACAGCAACAGCAGAGCATTTTATTCAGTAATCAGAATGCCATGGCTCCACTGGCATCTCAGAAGCAGCCACCACCAAACATGATATTTAGCCCAAACCAAAACCCAATGGCTAGTCAGGAGCAGCAGAACCAGTCAATTTTTCACCAGCAAAGTAATATGGCCCCAATGAACCAAGAGCAACAGCCCATGCAATTTCAGAATCAGCCTACGGTTTCTTCACTTCAGAACCCAGGTCCTACGCAGTCTGAGTCACCACAGACCTCCTTGTTTCATAGTTCTCCTCAGATCCAGTTGGTACAAGGGTCACCTAGTTCTCAAGAGCAGCAAGTAACACTCTTCCTCTCTCCGGCATCCATGTCGGCACTGCAGACCAGTATAAACCAACAGGACATGCAACAGTCTCCTCTTTATTCTCCTCAGAACAACATACCTGGAATCCAAGGAGCCACTTCTTCACCCCAGTCACAGGCTACTTTATTTCACAACACTACAGGAGGCACAATGAACCAACTACAGAATTCTCCTGGCTCATCTCAACAGACTTCGGGAATGTTCTTATTTGGCATTCAAAATAGTAAGAAACAAATTTCTCAGTACTCAGTTGAGATGTTCAGATTATTATAAGGAAGCACAAAGCACAGTATTTTAAGAGCAGAGTAGAATTCCACCAACTGAAGACTGAGGACTTCATGGGCCTAAATTTCCATATTTTCAAAAGTGATCATTTTAGACTAATCATGATGGTACATGCCTGTAGTCCTAGCCTTTCAGAGGTAGAGGCAGGAAGATCAGTAATTCAAAATCATCTGGCTTGATAGTGTGTTTGAGGGCAGCCTAGGATACATGAGACCTTGTCTCAGAAACAAACCAAAAAAGGCGATAATTTTTTATATCTCACAAAGATATTAGGAGGGGTAAATGTAGTGGTGTATAGAAATACATTTGCCATTTTAAGCTATTTGAAAGGAAAATGAAATAAGGACAGATAATATCTCAGCCAATTAATTTTTTTAAAAGAGGTAGGTAGACACCCGTTTTTCACATTATATCAAGTAATTACATGGGAGTTGGATGATACCTGAGTAGTATTATTTTTATTTATTTAGAATTAGGTTCTTACTATGTAGCTGTGGTTATTCTGGAACTCGCTGTGTAGGCCAGGATGGCCTTGAACCTAAAAGTTTATCTGCTCTGCTTCCTCAATGCTGAGATTAAAGGTGTGCTCCACCACACCCAGCCTAAGTAGTATTTTTATATAAATTAGAGGAATCTCAAGATAAACTCCAGTGTCATCCTGTGAAAACCATTTTCTTAGGCTTAAGTAATGTACTAGATCAGCGTAGGAGTGAATTTCCTCTGTCAACTAAAAGGTATTTTTTCATGAATCTTATGTAATCAGATGTTTCTGATTTCATTGTCTCTACAGATTGCAGTCAGCTTTTAACCTCTGGACCAGGTACCTTGCCAGATCAGCTGATGGCCATAAATCAGCCAGGCCAGACACAAAATGAGGGCCAGGCTTCTGTGACAACACTTCTTTCTCAGCAAATGCCAGAGACTTCCCCACTGGCCTCCTCTGTGAACAGCAGTCAGAGCATGGAGAAGATTGATTTGCTTGTTTCATTGCAAAGCCAAGGGAACAATTTAACTGGCTCCTTTTAATGAGATGCGTAAGTATTACGTTTTGGCTTCTTAGTGAAAAGCATTAATTTGTTCATAACAGATTTGGGTTAATAGCACTGCTTAGACTTTACCCTTTTTTTTATTTTCCTGGAGCTGAGGACCGAACCCAGGGCCTTGCACTTGCTAGGCAAGCGCTCTACCACTGAGCTAACTCCCCAACCCCGAGTTTACCCTTTTAAAATAGGACATTACTTTGAGCAAATCACTCTGAATGATAGCTTAGGTTATGTAGGAAATACTGGGCATTCCTTCTGGCTGGAAGCTTCTTTGCTTTAGAATATCCAGCTAGCACAAGGCCCTAGACTCGATCATAATAGAGAAAAGAGAGGAAGACAGAGGAAATTCTATAGAATAAGAATAAGCTGGGTATATCTAAGTTGGGCACTTGCCTAGCATACTTGAGATCATAGGTTCAATACCCAGCACCACCAAAAGAGTAAGAGAGACTGAAGATGATAGATAAGGTTCCCTGTATACACAGTGTCCTTTGGGGTCATTTAAGGTGACAGACACTTCACAGATGCCTTTCTTCCCTAGTGAAATAGTGATTTTTTTCCCCCCAGAAATTCCATGAAGAAAGTAATGATGATTCCAAGATGTCCTGAGAAATTGTGGTTCTGTGAAGATCATTGAACTGTTGTGAAAACTATATTGGAGTAAATGGGTAGATTTCCTGACTGTGAGAACACACCCATGCTGCCTGTTGCAGTAATGCGCCACCAATGTGCTTTTTGTTTCTAGTAACAGTGATGACTGAGAATCTGTTTGATTTTTCCAGCTGACAGAATTGTTGCTTTTGTCCTAGTTTTTTAAATGCAAGGCTGGGCCTCTCAGTTATTATTGCTATTAGAAAATCATATTTGTCATGTTTACTTACATTCTTATTTTCTTTCCTACATTATTTTAGTCAAGTAATGGCTTAGGACAGAGTAAAGTTTAGTAATGACTAAGGCTGTGATTTTGTTGATGTAAAAAGCATGGATGTTGGCCAAAGTGAAGGAGTTTTTTTCAGTTTTCATGGATAAGCTGAAGGTATAACTTACAAAAAAGCTGTATTGACAACTCTGCAGATAAGAGGACTCCTCATCACACACATGCAGATGACATGCTTTCAAACTGGGTACAGCTGGAATGTTACTGAGGTCATTTTGTAGAGAGTTGTTAGTTCTCTGTATTTCTACTACGGGATTTAGCCATAACTGCATAAAAATATTTTGTTCTATGAAAACGAAGGGAGTAATATATGACATTATGTTCTCATATTCACCTTCAGTAGTTTAAACTGACAGAGTCATTTGAGTCTGTTTTCCTCTTACTCAGCGTTAGGCTAGTGTTCCCACTTTATATGCATCTGTATTGTTTTCCTCTTCAGTTTTAGACAGCTGTTAATATACCCCTGGCTTTATGACCCTGTAGTAGTTTAGAGAAGGCAGCCACATTGATCCAGTGACCTGGCAGTCTGCAGCACTGGGCCAGGAATACTCTTAGGAATTATTGGAAATTGATTCCTGAGAAAAAAACAATTCTCTCTCTCTCTCTCTCTCTCTCTCTCTCTCTCTCTCTCTCTCTCTCTCTCTCTCTCTCTCTCTCTCTCTCTCTCTCTCTCTCTTATTTTTTCTTCCGTGAACAGTGCTGTTCTGAAGTCTTCAAATTTTTCCCTCTAATGAAAAACAGTATAAAATCTCACTTTACAAATGAGGCAAACAAACATTTCTCCAGCTGTTATTTCTCCCTGAGCTGCAGTGACGATAATTCATTTGTCACCTCAGTGCTTTACAGTCGAAGTGGTCACTTAATCGATGGGTCCCACAAGCCTTAGGCTTTACAGGGTCGCATCATTGATGTAAAAGGAAGAGTTAACTTATGTTACATCTACAGAGAGCAAAATTACACACTCCAGAACTTGCATTTGTAGCATTAGTTGTAGAGTTTTGGGTGTTCTTGCCGCCTGTGTGGTGCCTGCTTCTCACTCCCACCTACATCTGGACACATGCTTATATCTCATTTATCTTTGGCATGTGGAAAGTGTCAATGCAGCATGAGGCCAACATGTGTGGCTTCTGTGTGTTGATATGTTTTGGTATCCTGTTTGTTTCTTTTACTTACTTTAAGTGTCTAAAAATTAGCCAGTTTGTAGTTTCTTTTCCTTAGCCTTAGTTTTCTTTCCATTTTTTCTCTCCCTGTCCTACACAATTGTTGAACTGTGTGGAGCTGTGGTGTTGGTTTGTTCATTTGGTCAGATTCCCCTTTTGTGATCTTTCTTTGTTCTTTGACTATTGTTCTTGTCATTTGCTTTCTCTTTGTTCTTCTTCCTCTGCCCTGACCCTTCCTTTCTCTCTCTGAGAGGCATTGGATTACGTTTTCAGTAGTACAGGCTTCTTGCCGATATGAAGGGAACTTTCCAGAAAGAGACCTACTCTGGTCATTTAATTTTGAAAACAGTTTTCAATCGTTCAAGTTTTGGATGGTTTATATCTAATGTGTGTTTCATTTTTTTGGAAAGCTATATTTTATATTTAGGAAATGGTATACTATTTTGCTATTTGTACTGAGTGAGTACATTGGCATAAATATAGAAATTTATATATATATATATATACATATATAAACTATTCTTTTTGCCACACATTTTTGTGGTAAATTTGTGAGTTTGTCTGATGTTCTACCACAACGTGGCGTCTGATAACAGTGAGGGGTTTGTTATGTCTTTATTGAGTATTTAAGTACCTTTTGAAACAAATGGCCTGTTTATCTGTAGCCATTCCATCAGGCAGTTCCTTGATGTTACTAGTGAGCTAAAGGCAACGACTCTGTGTTTGCTGGATCTCCACTCAGCAAGGTGTTAAAGAGCAAGGAATCTTACTGAGGTAGTGTCAAATGGTGTTTGACAAGAATGAGCCACTCTGTCTTTGTTCACTATATATTTAATATTTTATTATTGTTGTTGTTATTAATTGGCTTTCTGTATCCTATGCCTTTTATTTATAAAGACACTAAAAATACCATGTTTGTAATTTTAATAACATTTTCCCATCTTTTAATATCCAGAACTACTTTATAAATTCTCTAAACCGAAAGTATTTTCCTCAATGTCTCCCTTCTCCCCCACTCCCTACAGGGAAGAATCACCCAGCATAGTTCAGGTTACGATAAGAGTCAGCCACACAATTCAGTGCTTCAGCTTTCAGATGTCCAACAGACACTAGCGTGTCTTAGAAGAGACAGGAGTCAGCGTTTAAAACTACATTTATTTCTGAGTTTTCAGAGTTACTTTCTGAGATCATGTAGGAGACTCACCAAGATCAAATTAGAATGTTACTACCGCACCATGGATGAAGTGCAGCAAGAAGTCTGGCTTGTGTGGTGACTTCTGTTTGTTCTGTACTAGAAGCTTATCCTTATAAAATGCTGATTGGCAATGCCAAGTCACTGGGACCAATTTCTGTTTTATAATGTCTGAGTTTAGAACAGAACATCACCTGAACTGTAGTGGTTTGAGTGGATGGAGGCAAAACCCCTCATTTTTAGTCTCATCACTTCTGTGGTTATTTATACAAGGGCTGTGCTGTGCTACCATATTCCTGTTCAATAATGATGGAAGTTTATTTGTTTTCTTACATTGTTAAATGTTCCTTGCCCCTAAAGGTCCGTGTTAAGTACAATGTTCTGAATATATGATTTGGTTACAAGAAGTCTTTGTCTTCTTATTGAAGAGTTAGCTCAGTGGTTGATACTTGTGCTAAGAATGCAGCTTCTCAGTTCCTGTTACAGTTACAACTGCCCGTGGGAAGACTCAGTGAGCCAGTAAAGACCTTGGGAATCAGGATTTATTAAATTTATATCTGGCAGAAGGACCTAAATAAACTGTGAACTACATTTTATTCCTTTGTTACATTCAGTTCTTGCTTTCAGCAACTCATAGAAATGCTTGGAGCTTATCTCTCTCTCTCTCTCTCTCTCTCTCTCTCTCTCTCTCTCTCTCTCTCTCTCTCTCTCTCTTCTGTGGGTGAGCATGCGTGCATGCATGTATGTGTGCTTGTTATTCCTTATTGTCATTCCACACCAGGGAGAAGACAGTTAGATAATTTGTTTGATTTTGTTGTTTTATTTTGTTTCGTTTTGAGGCAGAGTTTCTCTGTGTAGCCCTGGCTGTCCTAGAATTCACTCTGTAGACCAGGCTGGCCTTGAACTCAAGAGATCCGCCTGCCTCTGCCTCCTGAGTGCTGGGATTAAAGGCGTGTGCCACCTCTGCCCAGCTTAGATAATTTGTTTCTAAGATTTGCTATAGGCTTTTCTAATTCTAACATCATGTGATTTGTTATTTAGCCAATTTTGGTATGTCTACCCCGTCTCCTTAGAACAAGTGTTTAAAGGGCTTTATTATCAAAGCAGTATTAATGAGAGGCCTCTTTCCCTCCCTCCCATTCTCCCATCCTTCCTTGCCCCCCACCTTTATATAATATTGTAAGTTATAGTTTAGAATCTCATTATCATAGGTTTATTGCCTACCAAAGTTTTGGCTAATCTACCCAGAAAAAAGTAGAAGGAAGAAATTGTGCACATGTCCATTTAGAATGAAAATAATTCCTTTTGACATTTTTGAATGTTTGTTTTTATTTGTTTTCAGTATTTGTTTTCAATGAGGTTGCACTACGCTGCCCAAGTACTGGGCCTGGAGGGATGAAGCACCTTACCTGGGCCCCTTTGGCCTTTTTAAGCCATTGTAAATGTTTGTTTGCGAAAAATGGAATCTGTCAGCAAATAAGAACCACAGTGAAAAATGACTGACTGATTCTTAAACTCAGCATAGTTGTACATATTCTTGGGGGTTAGCCTGAGAATTTTTCTAGTAAAATTTTCTGTATCCCTGTTTCCTGATTTTTAATTAGTTAAAAGTTATGGGAGACCTTGTAACTTTATTCTGCATCTGGAGCATAGGTTCTATCTCTAATCAAGATTTCCTTTTTATAGATGCGTGCTTTTGGTTATGTGGAGGGACTCAATGAAAAAGAAAAATTAATTCAGCATATGTATTAGAGAAATAACTCAGGTCTTGGGGTGTGGTTCAGGGGTACAGAGTTTACATCTCATGTGCAAGGCCCTGAATTTGATCCCCAGCACCACCAAAAGGGAGAGAAAAAGAACCTGGGTATACACACTAGCAAGAGAATGAGCACTGGTCCATCACACACACTGAGAGCTTTCCCTGTCTAAACTGTGGAGGTGGCATTCATGATGCAGGAAATTGACTCACTACAGTATCATTAGTAAATTGTCCTGGTGCCCTAATTACTTTTGAGCTCTGTTTTCATGCCATGCTAAGCCTTGTATGTTAATAAAATTCTGTTTTTACTGCTCTTGTTCTTTCAGGCAACTTTTTACATTAGTATTTTATATAGAGATTACATGTGTATGGAAAAGTGCCTTTTTACCATGCCAGTGTACCCTTCTTATAATTCCGCCTTCCACTGTTGCCAGAAATATATGAACAACTGGTCTTAACAGGTCCCAACCTAGACTTTTTCATTTGGCCATTCTTTTCTCCATTTCTTGGTCACAATAGAAGAAAACTTTGTCAGTTCCTTTGACTTGAAAATAACAGAGAAAGTTCTTTGGCAAAATTGCTTGGAGAGTAAGTGTATGCTGTTGAGGCTTACATGAATCAACTCTTAATTTTCTCATCCCAACAAATTAGAGCTGGGTCTTCCTAGAACAGTAATGAAAATTTGGCTGTGTGCGAAATTCCATGCACACAAGTGTTTGTTAAATGTTGTGAAGACACTACTCATAGCATCTTCTCTGGCCCTAATTAGCTGGGTGAAAAGCAGTCATTAAAACATAGGTTTTGTAAGTCCTGGGGATAATGTTGATTCTTTTTTTTTTTTAATTAAACATGACAAAGTAGTTTATTATATTTCTTTTCTATCAGAACTTTAGTTAATTGGCCTTGGAAAGCTTAGTATCAGAAAAAAATTAGGAAGAAGTCATTTGAGTCCTGGGAGAGCTAAGGTAATTTCTTTAGTGTTAGATGCAGTTGGATTGAGTGTCCTGGTTTTGCCCATTTTGTTGCTGTTCTAGCTCCGTACCAAATGGTGGTACCTGAAGAAAGGGCCATCAGCCACAAACTAAGGACAGTGGTAACTTAAACACTGGGGTGGAGCTATGTTCCCCGTGGAAGTATTTTTGTGACCGTTGGACGGAAGATGGCAAACTTTTATGCAATATTCTTAATACCCTATTGTGCACTTTAATCATCCCAAATTCAGAGTAGCGCATCCATTTTTATTTTGGATAGCTGGCTTGGTGTGTTTGATGACTGCTTTTTAAAGTAACTCGGAATAAGTGTGAAGTTGCTATTTTCTAAAGGACTTTTAAGACTTGGAAACTTAGTGTAAGGAAATGACTACACTGTAGCAGATTGTTTTAGAATGGTAAAGTGATTGACTGGCTGATGAGTGTATTGGAGAGCTACTTAGAACCATCCCCTTCTTGTGTGTTTTATGTCCTTATAGAAGAACGCTATAATGTTTAGTTTCTATCTGTGTGGTTTATGTAAACCAGTATGGTCCTCCACCCCAGCAGCTAGCATCAGTATGAGCAGGAAACTAGTTAGAGGTGTGCATTCTTGGGCAATAGCCCAGCCTTGCTGAATTAGATCTGAAGTTGGGCCCAGCAGTCTGTCTGACCCAACCCAAGGTGAGTCCGATGCACCTGAGTTTCAGAGCATAGTGAAAGTGAGAGACTTTCCTTCCCCACTCTTAGAGATTCCTTCTTTATGTATATTCAGCCTTACCTAGTAATCTGTGATCATTTATCAACAATGGTAATTTATTCTCAGTACTGCCTAAGAAATGCATATGTCTTATGTATCTATACAGTGTAGTTGCTAATAATTAATTTAACTTAGTTTGGCATTTTCCTACCACTGACTAAAAAGTTTACATTAACTGACTGATTTCAATATATAGGTGCAATGTTCGGTATTTCTTTAATTGGTGTGACATTTACTTAGCTAAAATAATTGATGGGTGCTACAGTTTCCTGTTTATGCATAATATGGGTACATTGTGGGCAGTGTAATACAAGCTTTCTCTTCATTTCCTCTTAACTTTACCAGCAGACCACGGTTTTGCTCTGGCTGGACCAGCTCTCAGAACAGAATTACCATTCCATATCATTTTTCTTGTATCTGAGATAGTAAATCAGATGGCTGGCTAGGCCAACATAACACCTCTTAGTTGATTTCTTCTCTTAGTTGATAAGGATTCTTTTCAAGTAGCTTACTTGGCATTTGAATGCTGCAGTAGAGTGATGGTTCTCTTTGGAACTCATGCTTCAGGTGAAGTACTTAATAACATAAGACAGTGCATTTTATAACTTGGCTATTTTTCCCTCTTCAGTTGTGTGCATCCTAACAAATAAGCAGATTTACTCATATTTTCCTTTATAATTCAGCACTTCCATCATTAATCTTCCTTCCACTGTTTACAAATCACTGATGAGTTAACTCATGAAAGATTCACTTTTCAGAATAAAACTAAATGAATACTTGCTTTCTGAGAATCACTGCTCTCTGTCCCACACTAGCAGTGCTAAGTGGCTTACTCTACAAACTGGTGCTGGAAAGTAAGTAGGCAAACTGTTGGAATGTTCTAGAGACACCCTCTCTAGTACCCCTACCCCACCCCTGCTGGATTACAGCATCTGTGGCTGGACCCAGAGCATTCTCCACAGTTTATTCAAGCCCCAGTTTGTAATCCCTCCTTTAAAAATCCTGCATTCAGCTGTCACCCCTACTTGCTCTTTCATGTCGGTCCTCCCCCAACATAGAACCCACCCCAGGAGTAATGTATGGTTTGTAGGGCTGACCTCAGGACAGCTTATACTCACACATAATCCCAGATGGAGGAGAGTGGGGTTAGAATCAAACTTCTGTGACCAATAAAACCTGTCCTGGCTGGAGTTAGAGCTAGGTAGTTAGAACCCAAGGTGGGTGCAATCCCCAGTACAGAGAGAGACAGAGACAGAGAAAGAAAAGAAAAAAGAACTGTCCTGCACTGAAGTGATCACAATTTCACTCCGTAGAGACCTTCTGCAGCGCAATTGAACTAACTCCTTCTATCTGATGACTGCTCACCTTGTTTCTTCCAAGGATAAGCTCCAAGGGATTGCCGCTTTCCTGGCAACTTGACTGAGTTTCACGCTTTTCTTTTACTTTGTGTTTTAATGAGTAACTTGGACTATTTCATTAACCTGTTCTCAAGTGATTTAGCTGCCATTCTGCCATTTTGAGTTTTTATTTAATTTTATCTGCTTGAGCACACTGATCAACCACTGACTGCCTTCTTGCATTGTCCTGCAATGATGTAAGAGTGACATTTGTGTATATGGCTTCATAGTTGGAATTTCAGAGCACTGACACCAGATATTCTCAGTTTGTTCTCTAGGGGAATTTTCATTTGCATCTATGTTTTTAGCTATCTGTGATAACTTGTTAAATATTAAAAAGATATTTTGCTTCTATTGGAACATTTGTATACTCGCAATTATATTTCTGTAAACAGCTGCAGTCAAAAATAAAACATTGAAAGTTTTCATTTTGCAGTGTGTTGCCATCTTTTTTTCTCAGACTTTGTGTTGTTGGCCTAAATGTATCTGCAGTGGGGAGAAGTGGCTGAGACTTGAGACCATTATGGAGGTGATAGAAAGCAGAGGAACTTTTTGAGTTGTTATTTTGTACCTACCATTTTGCCTGGCAGAATACTCAGTATGTTAGTGTGGCCAGATTTTTCTTTAGTTGTTCATATTGAATACATGTGTAGATAACACAGAGTCTCTCTATTCTGCTAGTTGCTTCTGCTTGTATGAACTGGTGTTTATCACAGTGTGCCAAGTATAGGTCGCTACTGGTAGATCTCTGTGATCTCCCGTGAGATATGCACAGATAGTTCTAAGGGTTCATGTGTGAGGGACTCAGCATGTAGCTTATAAGAGTACTCTCTTAGTGCCGGGCGGTGGTGGCACACGCCTTTAATCCCAGCACTTGGGAGGCAGAGCCAGGCGGATCTCTGTGAGTTCGAGGCCAGCCTGGGCTACCAAGTGAGTTCCAGGAAAGGCGCAAAGCTACACAGAGAAACCCTGTCTCGAAAAAACCAAAAGAAAAAAAAAGAGTACTCTCTTAGCATGTACAGTTCCCTGGTTTCAGTTCATAGCATCTCAAAAAATACTATGTCCACTAACCAGATGATGAGGGAAAGGGTGAATCAAAGAAGAACAATAAATTAGTAATATAGGTGATGCAAGGATATCATGAACATAGTATATAAAGAACAACCTCAGACTGCCTCAGCAGGACATGGTGGTACATGCCTTTAATCCCAGCACAGAGGAGGCAGAAGCAGGCACAAGTCCATGATTTCAAGGCAAGCCAGTAACGTGTATGACAGCAGATGAAGAACTGAATTGATCCTACCACCTGAGAAAAAGCTAGATGTGGTATACATCTAACCCCAGCACTGGAGAGACAGCTCTAGGTGCATCCCTAGAGCTCATTCACCAGCCAACCTATCTGAATCTCTGAGCTCCAGGTTCAGTGGAGAACCTAACGAAGGAATTAAGGTGCAGAGCAATCAAAACGGACACCTGAAGTCAACCTCTGCCCTCCACACACAAACGTGGGTGTGCTTGCGTGTACACATGCCGAGGACCGTGGGAATATACAGCGGGTGACAACTAGTATTCAACAGGTTGACCTACCAGATGAATAACTCTATTGGGAAGCCCCACTAGGCAAAGTCAGAGGGGTCATTGGCTATGGAAACGGGTTGTTTTCTGTCTGTAACTTTCTCATGTGCCACCACAATACCTCCTCCCTAAGAAGAACATCTGTAGGGTTCCTTCCACAGCCCATTGGTAGTGTGTTTTACATCTTTTGGGCACATATAACTATGGATGGTCAGGAAGATGATTTCTGCTTATGCTTATAATTCTAATAATACTAGAATATTTTTCATAACAGACATAGGAAAGTTTCAAAGAACAGCCTTTTTCACATTTAACTAAGACCTTAAGAACAAATTCAAAATAGATGGGCTGCCCCTGCAGAAAATACACAAAGACAAATTCCCAGTGTTTTTTGCTGAATCAAGGTCAGACTTGAAGCAACTTTGGTAGACACAACCCTCTGCAGTAATTGACTTTTTGCACATAATCCCAGCCTCAGTTTGTGTTGTAGGGTTCAGCCAAATAACTGTTATTGTTAAGTCCTGAATGTCACTTTCTGTCTGTCTGGGAAAGAGCTGTGTGCATGGCCAAGCATTACTCACTGGCCAGTCAACATGACCTTCCTAGCCTGAGAGAAACTGTGAATTTATCATGTGTTATGAGAATGGGTCAGACCCTGAAAATGTAGCATATAATTGTCCTGAGTTTGGCGTGGAAAGGGGCCTGTGTAGAGCTGTGTGAAGAGCCACTGTGAAAAGTGTATGTGTACAAGTGTGTATGTGCTGAGTGAAAGATGTAGCAGAATGAGCAGAGAGAAAAGTGTGAGAGATGAAGACGTATAAGAAACGTAAGAAGTATCGTGAGAGTAGTTTGAGAATTATAACTAAGGAGAATTGGAACCAAAGAATTGGAACTAAAGATTTAGAACTACAGAATTAGAACAAGAGAGAAAAAGAGAAATACCCTCAGATCGTGTGTGAATTATTATAGATAAGAAATCTTTCTATTCCCCGCTCTTGAGAAGTCTTTCTCTGAGTAACCCTGGGAGCTGGACTCCCAGACCACTATGTACACATGCACACACAGAGGAACAAACACCGCACATGTACACATAAAATCAGAGAATGTTAATTTGGCATTAATAAGCTTAAAAGAACACTGGAAAGGTATAATAAACAAAAGGAAAAGGCAGCTCAAAGGATGGCTCAGCAGTTAAGAGCATCTGCTGCTTTGCAGAGGGACCTAAATTTGGTTCCCAGCACCCATATCAGGCAGCTCGCAACTGCCAGTGATTCTAAACAGCAAGCTTTTTGTCCTGACTGCCCGGTCCCAAATAGATACACAGAGGCTTGTATATTAATTACAGAATGCTTGGCCAATAGCTCAGGCTCATTACTAACTGGCTCTTACATTTAAATTAACGCATTTCTATTAATCTATGTATTGCCATGTGGCCCATGGCTTTACTGGTTCTCTAGCATCTTGCTTCTTGGGCAGCTCGCTGACATCTCTCCCAACTCTGCCCTTCTTCATCCCAGTCCTCAGTTTGATTGTCCCAGCTAACTTTATCCTGCCTTGCTATAGGCCAAACAGCTTTATTATTAGCCAATGAGAATAATACATTCACAGTGTACGGAAGGATTATCTCAGAGTAAGTGACTCCAACTCCATGAGATCAGACACCCTCTTCTGGCCTCTGCAGGCACCTCCATGCGTATGTTTATACACATGCATATGTACATATAGTTATAAATAAAATTAGTCTTTCAAAAACAAGACTCATTGTCTCATAAGCCTGACAACCCAAGTTCAATCCCCAGAACCCAGAAAAAGATGGAAATTAAGAACTCTGGCTAGGCGGCGGTGGCGGCGGCGGCAGCGCATGCCTTTAATCCCAGCACTGGGGAGGCAGAGCCAGGTGGGTCTCTGTGAGTTTGAGGCCAGCCTGGGCTACAGAGTGAGTTCCAGGAAAGGTGCAAAGCTACACAGAGAAACCCTGTCTCGAAAAACTTAAAAAAAAAAAAAAAAAAAACTATGTCAAGTTGTCCTCTGACCTCCATAAAATCACCATAGCATGAATGCACACAACACAAATCAGTGTAAAAATAAAAATGAGGGCTCTTAAGTTTGGTCCTGTGTGCAGCCTTGACTCCCCATACTTTACTGTACAACCATTCACCAATTTGTTTTTCTGTAAAAGAGACTGTCCCTTTAGGGCTGTCATCCGAGTTAGGCCAGTTAATGTGTATTAGTTAACTTAGTTCCTGGTTCACAGTAAATACACAATATTAACATTACTAGTCCTGATGCCACCCTGTTCTACTGTCTCATATGCTAGGTACCTTTTCCCTTTACTTTATTGAAAGATCCAGTCCAAGACATGATAATCATACTCATGAACTCACAGCAACTAAGATTATTTGCACAAGATTTAGTCAGTTTGCCAGGCGGTAGTGGCGCACGCCTTTAATCCCAGCACTCGGGAGGCAGAGCCAAGCGGATCTCTGGGAGTTCGAGGCCAGCCTGGGCTACCAAGTGAGTTCCAAGAAAAGGCGCAAAAGCTATACAGAGAAACCCTGTCTCGAAAAACCAAAATAAATAAACAAACAAGTTTAAGTCAGCCAAAGTTCTACCAGAGATGAGGGAGGCACTCTCCAGGCTCACCCCTTACTGTGGTGCTATTAGCAGTTGATAGCTGCTGGGGGAGGGAAGGTGTACCCATTGGAATATTTCTCCAGTGGAAGGCCCCACACCCCACACAGATAACAGTAATTGGACACAAAAATAGAAGACGGGAAGTTGTGAGGGAGGCTTGTTGGAGATGGGGTTGGAAGAGGGAGTTGGGGGTGGATATATTTCATCATTATATGTGTGTGAAATCCTCAAGAATAAAATTAACCTTTAAAAAAAGATACAGTCTTTTAATTGTCTTTAGCACCAAGGCTCTCTGTTATCCCATTGGTGTGTAAATTTTTTTTAAATTTAAAAGATTTTAAAGATAAAGAATTCCTGGCCCCAAGTGCAGTCCTCAGGAGCCAGGTTCTGTTTAATCCACACCATGTGTGTTAGTGTTTCTGTTGATGTCATAAAACACCAGACCAAAAGTAACTTGGAGGAGGAAAGGGTTTATTTTGTTCACAGTTCCAGAAGTCAGGGCAAAAACTCAAACAGGACAGGAACCTGGATACAGGAGCTGATGCAGAGACCATGGAGGTGTGCTGCTTACTGGCTTGCTCAGACTGCTTTCTAACACAACCCAGGACCACCAGCCCTGAGGTGACCCCACCCACAATGGGCTGGGTTTGCCACATCAGTTATTAACCAAGAAAATGCACTACAGGCTTTCCTCCTGGCCAGTCTGGTGGAATTTTCTCAGGCTCCCTTTTCCAAAATGATTCCAGCCTGTGGTAAGATGACGTAAGAACTAGCCAGCACAGCCTCCTCTCTGAGTCCTGACCCAGGTGTACCTTTTCCTTCTGCTGTCCTGCCCTCTTCTCCCAGATGCTGGCCAGAGCCTAAGCATACTTTCCCTAATACTCCACCTTCCTTACTCTGCCTCTGAAGTTCCCCTCCCCTTTGCCATGCACTTCATATCATGGCTGACTTCCATGCTTAACTCAAATGGCATGGCTCTCCCTCTCCCCTACCTAGAAATCTATAATCAACATCTCTCTAAAACAAACATAGCCGGGCGGTGGTGGCGCACGCCTTTAATCCCAGCACTCGGGAGGCAGAGCCAGGCGGATCTCTGTGAGTTCGAGGCCAGCCTGGGCTACCAAGTGAGTTCCAGGAAAGGCGCAAAGCTACACAGAGAAACCCTGTCTCGAAAAACAAAAACAAAAAAAAAAAAAAAAAAAAAAAGTAAAACAAACAT